TGATTCTTTGACTTATGCAATATAGAAGTTGCCAATCCATAAAACCTGTTCCTGTTGATGTGAGAGTATATGCCCACACGGTGCTCATTCGCGACTTCAATGACCGAATCAATCGAATAATGGACACTTCATGATGAGTGAACACACAGTGCCTTTTAAAACGTCGTCAAATGTAACATACTGTTTTGGGGATTACATATTCTCAGTTAAGATTCTAGTACTTCTGGGGATGGAGTCCCATCCGGCAAAGCGGTCAAATGTGCCACACAGTAAACTACAATTATAACAAACTCAAATGAACCACTTTATTTCGATATAGCCATGCATAGTTTGTAATACGCAATTCGACTAAAATATATTGTATACTGACCGGACCCGATCTTCATAGCCATCAGTTTGCTGCTTCATGGGCATTCACCTGATGAATTGGCAAGGTGTAGCCCAGAATCGTAGTGTTTTATATAATAAAGACGTTGTAAATCTATAGCATACGTTGTTAACCTTATCTTTTAGATCTCCCATCAAAATTTCGTACTGGTCAACAAAACTAAGTACTTCTAATCATGGATTACCCATCGAAACGTGACGATGGTTTAATATTAATCTGGAAAACAGAACATGTACCATTTGTAAAAATAATGTTATTGGTGACGAATTTCATGTTATTTTATCATGTACACATCTTAATACTTCGATCTTATTTTTGCAATAACCCAGATATGCATAAATGTATCCTACTTATGAAATCAGATTACACCCCACACCTATTGAAACTTTCACTGTTTACTAAAACTGTTCTTAGTCATTTCTAAATCAATATATCTATTCATATGTTATTGTATATAAACGATTGTATGTTCTCTATATCATTCTGTGTGATTTACGAGAATAAAAGTCTGTTCTGTTATGCATAAGTTTGTTATAAGCGTGTTCGATAAATACCACAGTTAAATGTATGTTATATTTGGGATTACACATTCTTGTACTTTCTGGGGTGTGTCTCATCCGAGATTCCAACCCACACTCTCAGAGTGAGTCTCTTTACGTAGCACACACAGCCAGCGATCTGTTAAGCTATGTTTGGGATTTTTGTGGACGCTGCGCTGGCTGAGAGGGTTAGATGGCTGACGGTTGATGCGGGCGAATAGTTGAACCATTAGAACCCATGAGGTCTGATTGCCTGATGTCCGTGATGGATCGCCTGCATCATGCCTGACCAGTTTGGCCGAGTAGGACGGAGTAGTCAAACACTCTTCCAAAGAATGTCAATACTTGATGTTGGATCATCCCCATCTGTTTGGGTCATAGGAAGGTACCTGAAATCCAGGACATGGGGACTGGTAGAAGTGCATGTTGATTCTCCTTATTGCTACAATATCATCTACTGTGACATCTCTTCCTGGCAAAAGGAGCGGTGGGGTAGCCTAGTGGTTAAAGCGTTGGATCGTCACGCCGATGACCCGGGTTCGATTCCCCACATGGGTACAATGTGTGAAGCCCATTTCTGGTGTCCCCTGCTGGAATATTGCTAAAAGCGGCGTAAAACCACACTCACTCACTCACTCATTCACTCTTCTTGGCAAACGTCTGGGCTTTCTGTTTCCTGGTGTACAGTCCGTTGACTCAAAAGCGGACCAATGAATTGCAATCTAACTCGAAAACTAATAAGCATATAAAACTCAATGAAACGCTGATCATAATCAAAACATCAGACCAACTCTGTGAAGGTTTTGCATAGTTTAAGCCCCAAAAATAAAAAAGTTGTTTCACAAACTATCATTAAAATATTTACACAGTTCACTATTTGTTACGAGGGAGGAGTGCAAAGACAGAGACAACCAGGTGTGCGAGACCTCACAGCACAGGTTAATGAATCAATAATTTTGTCGGCACTTGTGCACGTGCTTCCCGAACACCTGGCTATCCCTTTCTCTGACCCCTATGACTTTGAGGGGTCGAAGTTGACCTTTTTCCGCCACTGAGATTTTCCTATACTTTTTATATGTTATAAAGGAATGGTTCAGCGTCTTAAAAGAGTTGAAATCATTTCTGTTGCAATTTGTGGTGAGTATTCTCATAAACTGACTGGACTGTATAGTTGAACCATTAGAACCCATAAGCTTTGACTGCCTACACACCATCATATTTGATCAGTTCCAGTACAATAAATGAGAAGAGGTGTCAGATAAAATGGCGGTTATCACCAACAAAAAGTTGGTTATTATAAGTATTAGCAGGAAAAGGTGGCTGCATTTGGGCGTTTGGGGCCACGTGTTCCACCAAGTGCAGATCCTTGACCAAATGACATAGCCGTGACAAGACATTTGTATTCCGCATGCACATCGTCCAAGTTTAGATTAAGAACACCTGCCTCAACTCAGCAAACCCCACTTCAGACACAATATCTTTATAAGTTTGATTCTTTGACTTCAAAAAAGTTCAGCTACACCTTAGTATCTGACTACGTCAAAATTTCAAGATCTACAATGAACAATTTGATCTTAGCAACCTTAAAATGTTAACTGATAAATTCTTCAAGTGGATTTCTTTTAACACTAGAGCTGACAAATGTTTGGCCACGACTAATAAAACTTCCTTGTTTGCCTGGATTTAGAGTTGGCTCTTTGCCCATTCTGTGCCCTTGACATTTATCGATGACACGATATCTATCAATGTGTTTTGTGGCATACCATTATCACTTGCGTGATCACCCTTGTCCAATATCCCGTCCAGACGCTCTACCCACACAACCTTCAAACTTGTTTTTTTTAGTCCAAAGACATATTAAGTACCATCTCACCTGACCTACTTGCCATGAAGTTTCCATGTACTTCTCTGTCAGTATGAAATAAAAATTTTAGAAAATGTTCATTTACTATGTATACACTGACCAAGTGTATTCAGCAATCATTGTACATTTATTTTCTTCTGTATCTACTCAATTGCACATTTTGCCTCAGAAAACATATAAAGGACATGGATTTGATGTATAAAATCTGAACGAATACAGCAAGGCAAGTTCTGAATAGACATGTGTTACCTAAAAGAATCTTACTGTTTTGCCCAAGAATTGATGGAAAAGTGGATCTAAATATCCGATGCTATGTTCATTGTTTCTCGAACTGTATGTCGAAGTTTTTAAAGGCTATGTATCATAAGTGTGAACCAAATGAAAAGGATAAAATATATAATATATGTTTTGGGACTGAGGATAAAATATACATAATCGTTTACTTAAGTGTCAAGACAAATGTTCGCCAAAATAATACCCACACCTTTAAACGTCTTAAGGACTTGTTTAGATATCATCGCGTGGGTCAAGAGCATATTGATGTACGTAGTAGTTTAAAACCTCTGGATAACATATTGAATTTACCACATGCTGTGTCTCCTATCTAGGCTAATGCATGTGGGACACAAAGTCACCTTGATGATAAAAAGACGAACAAGAAAAGATGTACTTGTTGTACCCCACAATGTTCTCCCCCTTGAGAGTGACTAATGTTTTGTTTTGGCAGGGGCATGATCCATACAAGATTTGGTTTGATTTGGGTGTTGTTTAACGCCGCACTCAGCAATATTCCAGTTGTATGACGGTGGTATGTAAATAATCGAGTCTGGACCAGACAATCCTGTGATCAACAGCATGAGCATCGATCTACGCAGTTGGGATACGATGACATGTGTCAACCAAGTCAGTGACCACCCGATCCCGTTAGTCGCCTCTTACAACAAGTCTGGGTTGCTGAAGACCAATTCTGACCCGGATCTTCATGGATGTCGTTCCGGATCGTTTCACCCCAAGTCGTTTTACCCGGGATGTTTCATCCCAATTCCAAACTAGGCCAATTCATCCCACATTAGGGGCCGTTTCACCCCTAATCAAGAGTTATTTCACCCCAACTAATTGAGTATACATGGACTGACTGACTGAGTTTGGCTTTACGCCGCTTTTAGCAATATTCCAGCAACATCACGGCGGGGGACACCAGAAATGGGCTTCACACGTTGTACCCATGTGGGGATTCGAACCCGGGTCTTCAGCGTGATGAGCCAACGCTTTAACCACTAGGCTACCCCACCGCCCCGAGTATACACGGAGAATGGTATTAATGCTGAAATCTGTTAATCCTAATTAGGCAATGTTTTTACAACAATCAGGTAAATGCTACTGTGTCTGTGTTGAGATGGTACATCGGACTTAAGCTTATATCTCATCTAACCTCATCTCATCACGCTTAAAACTTGAATGAACAGCCCGTATGGAGAGTTCCTTCGTCAGACACGAAGCTTAATTTTGGAATATTGGACCAAGTGAAACCCAAGTGAGCTTGGTTCAAAATTGTCTTCAATTAAGAGACAAAAGGCAGAAATTCAAGAAGATGCACGAGAAGCTTCTTCTCCTCTGGACACAGTACACAGAAAGGAACTGTCCACAAGTTCATTCCTGTCCAAGGCAGCTACATGCTATCGTCACTGAAGGACTTCACCCGATCCAACACAGCCAATATAAACTGATATAATATTCAAACAATTTGAATATGCTGTTTCGACACTATACATAGATGAATAAAATATTGAAACAATTTTATAGTTGATAAAGATAATATTTTTTGCTGGGGTGAAACAACCTCTAGATGGGGTGAAACCACCGGGTGTAGCTGTGCTGGGGTGAACATGTTTTGGGTGAAATGACCCGTTACCTGGCTGACTAATGTATTAAGGATACAATTTACTCACCTACAGGTTATAATCCAACATATAAAAATCAGAAATACAAAAAAATATTCATAAGGTAATATTTTCGTTATGAATAAAGATCGTTTATAAATTTGCAAAGAATTTGTACAAAATCTGATCTTGTTATTTTGAGTCAATAGCATCTTCTGTAGGGAGTCTGCAATTTCATAAACCTCCATTTTATACAACAAAAAGTACTCTGGCTCTTTTGCTAGATATCTCCGGTGTTACCCTTGGGTAGCTTATAATTCAACAGGAACCTATCCAGTTCAGTTTGGTTGGACTGTACAAATCATAACCGGTTAATAGAACCGGTTTGCTTTCTACTGAAAGCCACACCAGCTACACACAGCAAAGACAATCATGAAGATTGTACCGTTATGGATTGTTTTCTGTGTAGTTTCTGTTAGCACAGTTAATGGCGGGCGTCGATTTAAACACCAAAGTCGAGGCAACGACGTTGACGGCAATGCTGAATGGGAACTGGACTCCAGAGGCTCGTGTCACACATCGTCAATCTCGATGTCCTGCCTGACGTCAGTGTATGTATTCGTTCATTTACATCATATCGAGTGAGTGAGCGAGTGAGTGAGTGAGTGAGTGAGTTCATATTTAACGCCTCCTACATATCGTGACGAAAACAATTTATGCAGTAAAGATGAAAACATTTTGAAGAGTAAAACCCGTCGACGATGGACAGTAAAAATACTAGAGTATCACAGATATGAATATAGAACATTTTAATTAACGAAGACAATACAATATAAAGCACGGGCTATAGATCTGAGTATCATCTAAGATCTTAAAAGTTTATACATATATATTTATGTTCAAACCTCAGAACGAGAACACTTTACATTTATACCATATGTTTGTAAATGCCTTAATGTGTCAACCAAATAGCATTTACTTTTTATATCAAAAAATGAAATAGAAAATATTTTGAACATATTCAAATTAGGGAGCTTGGCTTTACAAAAAAGAAAGTAAAATTTGATTAAAGGCTTAAAACATTAATATCTATGATATTTCATGATTTCATGCATGGCCAAAAAGTCCATTTCAATTTGTCAATTAGGCCATATGATATCCTCGATTCGAGAATCATTAGTATACTATCTGTGTGCCTTATACGCAAGATAATATTGAAGATATGAATTTAGATTCATTTTGCACAATTTCCATAACAGGTTGCCGAAAACAACAAAGGGGAGATAATCGTGAATCTTCAGGACCCATCAGTTGCTTCCGCTTGGAAACCAGGGTGGTATCTCATGAGCACTAACGTCCGTCAAAGACAAGGTTTAGAAGTCAAACAGGTTGCCATTGTCAAGAAAATACAGAATGTACATATCGTCAGTCCAACAAAAGTCAAAGTCTTAGGCATTGACGTCAGGTAAGCCATCAGAAAATACATAATTATAGTTTTCGTTGCTGAACAACATTATTTCATTAAGGCGAGAATTTATGTATATCAACTTCTTTGTTTAGATATAAACGCCGTTTCGAAGTATATTCTTATCCCATCATCGGGTGAATGAAAGACAAGGAAACAGATAGCTATATTTATATAGCTGTCTGTTTCCTTGTCTTCCATAAATTCTTGTCTGTATGTGTATCACTTCTAAAAATACCGTTCAAAGACTCAACATTATTTCAGCTGATGTTAACATTTATTCAACTTTCGTTTCCAGCGCCCTAGACCTACTTCAGGAAGCACAAGTGTTTTTCAGATATCCCCACATAACCAGTAAACATGGTCATCGCCAGAAGAGATATGTGTCCAACCTTCTCTCTGACGTTTTGGACAAAATCAACTTCCATGCCAGTGATGGTGACGAGTCCATCAACTTCAATGTTGATCCCAAGACTGGTCAAGCAAGCCATACGTACAATGTATACAAGGAGCAAGGAAGCAAGGTGGTCAAGCTCGAAAAGATCAGCAAAGGTCAAAAGAGCCTAATTCCTGGAGATGCCGACTTTCGCCTTACCTGTAAGAACTGCTATGAACAGAGACACACTGGGCACACAATGTGAGTACGTCATGGTGATATATTACACAGTTTTAAAGTACGTTGAGTTTGACAGCATTTCACAAGTTATTACTTTTTGTTTACAGGGATCTTCAGTTTGAAAGACGAAACAAGACAGCTACAGTCAAGAAGTTCCTAATGCAGGTTATGTTAAGGATTTGATATTTTATTTATGGCATCCAATAAAGGTCATGTTTTGCCTCCCGTATATTATATTTCATTTATTATTAGTCATTCATGATATATATTTCAATGGGTATGCATTTTCAAAATCGATGAAATATGTTATTTTGAAAGTAGAACATTTATTTTATATACAGAGTGACGTCAGTACCGACCTCAACGTAGAGTTCGAACTCAGCTTCCAAAAAGCTCTTGGCCTCTCAGAACGAATTGTCATGGACAGTACACCTTCGACCATATTGCGCTCCATACCAGTTGCTAAAGTGGACGAGAAGTTACCACCCATACAACTGGTCATCTCATATTCCAAAACCGTGTTTCTTGAGATTAACGCAACATCCAATGGACCGATAGACTACAATGGAAAATTCCATATTAAAGGAAATTACACCATGAGTATGAAAACCTATGTTTGAAAACATTCAAATTGTGTTAATAATGTATGTTTTTAAAATGATACTTCTAGGGAAACGTTGCACTACTCTGTCGTTTCAATTATGTTATACCAAACATATAAAAACACAAGGTATCAAGTAAGCACAAGAAAACGATTACTGCAATACAAATATCGCTTGTAAAATCACAGCTATCCGCATTATGCAAAATAGTTCCTTGACGACATGTTCCACTTCCTAGATTGTCTCATTTAGAGCATGACGTGTGTGAGAGAACATATTGATGCAAAGTATTGTCTAATGTTGCAAATGCGCATCATTAACCATCTATTTCATCAGCTTCTACCGAGTCTTCAGGACAGGCCCCAAAAACAGATTTGACCACAACATCCTGGTCATCTTCAGTTCAGTCATTCTCTGGACAGTCCTCAAAACCTTACAACATCTCAATGTCCCTTTATCAAGAGGTGAGTGGATAGACAATTATGATTCATTTATTCATTCTGTTATTCTACCTTCAGTTTGTGTCATCGGGTTTATTTATTCGAACATTGGAGTATTTCAAAGTGCTTCCACAGACCTTATGAACGTGGTGTATAACGTTCCATCACATTTAGATTAGACAAGGTGTATTCAACAGCAATTGGTGATTGGTCAGATTCCGTTATACCTATGTCGATCCTCTTGTCTGGCAGGTTACTCTGAAAGCTTCGGTCAAGTGGTCCCAACATGATGCATCTATAGTGTTCGCGCCACCGGAAGTTGTAAGCTTCAAGCCAGTTCTGTACGCCTATACTACCGAGGATGAATACAGTCGGTGTGAAACAGCCACGTTAACAGTTGACGGAACATTTACCCACGACAAGTCGGATTTTGTGGCTAAAGCTTTCCATAAAACCATATGGTAAATCATACTCTTGTCCTTTTTGTACATTATCTTCACAAGCAAACAGATACATGGTATTTTAAACATGGAAGTATAAATCAGCAACTGCGATTGTTAATGGCTGTACCCTCAAAGGGGGTTAAAGTATCGTAAAAGTATTGTCCTCCTGTGAGGGTACGTAAGTCCCAAAACTTTCAATGTTAAATTTCAGCTTACCAGAGTTTTAATCGTAGTATTTTCGTTCTTTTAAAATTTGGCTTAATCTTTCCTACAATCGCCAGCGGCTGAAGGGATGGTGTAAATCCAACTAGGGTCAATGCAGGTAGCAAAGGCACTGTAAGTCCCCATGGTCCCTATTATGGTGATCTACCTTAAGTTGTTGGCGATCTATAGGCTATTTTTTATACTGTATCGTCCTAATTTGAAATACAAATTTAGAGAGAGATGCTAGTTATATTTCTTGATACCATGATATTCTAGTTGGTTTTTCTGTCCTTCGTTGACATTTTTTTTTTCTTATAATTTACATGTTTTTATGGTGAATTCAAAACTTTCTTTAGTCACGATATGGCTGAAATATTACCGATTTGACTGTAAATCTTAACTCACTCACTCACTATTGCAAAGTAGTTTTCCATATTGCAAAGATACAACATCTATCACCAAACACGTGCTCCTTTCGCATGTACCAAATCCTGCAAATATTGCTCAAAGGTTCTATGTATCCATTTCAACGTAAGGAGGACTACGTTAACTAATTGTTCATGTGACACACATTCCGTATCTTTTCTCCATATTTTAGGGACCTGGGTTTAATAGGCACATCCTCCGTTCATAAATCCTTGATGACAGAAACCCTCTCACACAATTGCTCCGCAAACTGTGGTGCTCTGGCAGCTGATGTTCATGGGAAGGCCATGGAAGACGTGTGTGGCCCAGCGGGCGACAGGATTGTCAGAGGAGATAGCAACTTTCACAAGTAACGTTAAATAATACAAGAATGTATCATTAAATAAGTGGGGGAATATTCATATAGAAGTACGGTTTGTGTCAGTTTTGTCCTGGTAAGCTTTTATTGGTTTTATCATAGATGCCTTATAAAAACACTACTGAGACAATAATGTTACTTCAAGTTGATTGTCGTTGGTGTATCAAATGTTACTCGCCTCGTTTTGTTATTTCGCTTGTGTTTTTTTCATGAAACAGATTAACGCTGATTGGAGGCGATTTCACCCTGTTCCGGTCTGAAGAAAGCGAGAGCGCTACCTGGTGTGGAAAACCCGGTCGAAAATGTCATAAATGTGTGTGGACTGATAATGGCGATAGTAACGTTGACGCCTGTGCAGACAGACTGATGTCGGCAGCAGCAGCATCAACACTGACCACTCTCGGCCATCTTGCTAAGGAGGAATGGCCAAACAGTAAGACGTCATTTCAGCATATTAATTCTTTAATTAAAATTTAAAGATGGAGTATGATACATACAAGAGTGATGCATGTTAGATCACAAAACACTCAAAACATGTTTTTATACCAATAAATGTATTACAGGAAACCTGGTGGTGCTGGAAGCATGGGATGAACCAACGTCAAGTCACCCTAACGGAAGTCATGGCGCTTCTTCACTTCACTATTCCGGAAGAGCTCTACAGGTGGCGCTGACAACTGAACACCCGAGCAATACTAAATCACTGCAGTTGGAAACGTCCACCTCAATGTTAAAGAGATTGGCAGAACTTGGTGCTTGTGCTCGGTTCCCATTCTTTGATGTCACTTCCGGTCACGTGCAGTTCTGTGTCCATGATGATATCTTGTCAAAGAGATCTGCAACGGGGCCGTCAGCAAGCAGTCCGGAGAAGGAGTATTTTATGAAAACCATGAATAAAATAGGTAAATATTTGAGTAAATACATAAACGTATGTTCACGTTTAGTATTCTCAAAACAAAGAAATGTTTTTTACGCATTACGATGTCTCACTCTTGCTAAATGCATTCGTTTGCAGTAAACTGCCATTTATATTGTCATTCAAATCTCTCTAATAATAATGAAACTAACCTATATCATATTCTTTCAGGGTCTAATTATTCCGATATCAACTGCATTATTGACAATATCAAAAACATTCTTCATGGTGTTGATTTTAAAGAAGTCATCAATCCTCTTTTGCAAGACCGCAATATTCAGTACAGGTACAGTTTCTTCTATGTTCCCAAGCCTATTTAACTCACTGATTATAGCATTAAACACCATATACATGTTCCATAATCTTAATTAATATATTATAGCCATATAACGGTAACATAATACAAAAGTTGATCATTCTGTTACAAGAAATTATGAAGCAGGAAATGAATATATCCTGTGAACCTAAACCCAGTCTTTAGTACACATATATCTTTTACAAACTCTATTTTCCACAGGCTAATTCAATATCCTTTTGACGACTTCACATTTGATCCAGAGGGATCTTCATCAGACATGTGCTATCAGTCGACAAGAAGGTGCAAAAGCACATGTGAGTTGTCTGTCACTAAGGAACCCTGGGATTGGTGTCAGACAAGGGTCATGACTCCCAGAATGGCGATACGGCTGCGTCGACTGGTCGCCATCGTCAAACAGCATTATCCAGGTGCGTGCTTCACTATTTAGCTTTTAATAGTCCTATTGTTAATAGTACGGTCGACGTCCCCAGTAAAGGTATCACCTTCCCTCTTGTCATCAATTTTATCAGTTTCAAACGTCTAAATACTATGTTTCAGTTTTAGTTTTCTGAGGTTTCCACTTATGTATACACTTATTTACCGGTGGCATATGGCCCAGTATGTATGCAAACAAAGTATACATGTACATATTCATACAGATATCCTATTTCAGGTGTAAAATTGAGAGTGACAAAGGAGGTACATAATGGCGCTGCTAAACACAAATCATTTGAAACAAATGGCAGGTAAATATTTGTATACGTTAAATCATGTCATGAGAAACCAACAAACCAATGGAGATGATGAAATCAAAACAATCAAACAGGAGCACTGTTGGGTTATATAACAAAGATGCTCCGAATTCGGTGTAGTTGTGCCTTTACAGCGTCAAATAATCATGAGATGACACAACTTTATGATTTATCGATTTGTTTGAGTGGCCTTCTAGACGTTGCTGGTATAGAGATTACACAACTTTATGGATGATCAACTTCTTTATTTTCACAATGGCAACGTCGCCGTTATACTTGAAAACGGCATAAGAACCTATACCGAAACGTCGCCATTGTTGAAATAAAAAAGTTGATCATCCATAAAGTTGTGTCATCTCTATACCAGCAACTTCTAGAATGCCACTCAAACAAATCGAGAAATCATGATACATCAATATTTCAAATTTCTCCTATACTATAATATATTATCCAATATTTACAGGAAACTACAGATTTCTCCCCCATCAGGCACTACAATGTCGATATCCACGCTCCGGTCTATGGCAAACTGTGCAGGCTTTGACTACATAGACACCGCCGATTCTTCATCCATTGACGTCTATGTCAAGCTTCAAGACGGTTACCAAGCAACAGTGGTCCCTTTCCAGGATACGACATTGTTAGCTGTAGGGGTCGATGACGAAGACTATGCTTATCCCACAGAACTGAAGAATGAGTTTAGAACATCGTTACTTTTTGACGGGTTTAATCCCGACATACAAATATCGGGGCATTTTAAGGTTTCAGATTTCAAACACTCAAAGAAGAGGTTCTTCAGGCTTGACCAGTACTTGGCAGACTGTCTGGAGCTTACGGTACAGGAATTTGGAGAAACCATCGAAATCATCCCCGATTCAGCCTATAGGTACAATACTCACAAAGGTTTCAATATAACGAAAAAGCTTTAGTCTTTGCCATTAATGTACTGTTAAACTTGAACACTTTAAATAGCTATCATAATTTTGAATCTTTATCATAGATCTACACTGGTGAATATACATCTTTATTTTGGAATATGAATAATTCAGAAGAATGCTTTAATTAGGATTTCCATGTAGGAAGGTTAATCTCGTGATTTTAATGTTTTTGATTAACGTTCCCGTCCATACCAAATTGGAATCTATACAGTGGAAGAATAGATGGCTACGAGTTTGTTTTTCCTTCTCGCAAAACTGACAGTAGTCACTGTGAAAAACGTGGTTATAAGTGTAGGACTTATTGTACCAGTATGCGTTAATTGGATTGGATGTAACATGAGATTCTTCTTTGAAGATATGGGGATTTAGTTTAGCAATACTTCTAAATCCAATTTAACACGAGTTAAAAATTGCTATCAATATCAGTTTTATTAACTGCAACAATTGGGACTTCTAGGTCCCATTCCGTCAACATACGTGACATTGCTCACAGACATCCCCAGGAAAAACTGAGGTTCGAAGCTGGACAAGCTGTGTATGTCGCTCCCATCAAAGACAAATCTAAAGATTCCCTGGTAAATCTTGGCTACTCATTTCTGAGGAGCTGCCCACCCATACTTCGTCTGCAGTCACGTGGCCTTGGCATCGGTTGTCATAGTAACAAAATGTACATAGACATTCGCCCGATGGCAGGTGATGAGGATATTGCCGATGTGTGGAATGTTGATTATGAGCCTGTGTTTGACATCATCCACAGGGCAATGGATGATCTTAAGAGAGGTGATTATTACAGAACCTTGTTTTATACAATCCTGCTAGATACAATCACTATAAATACCCATTAGAGGTTGTATAGTAATTTGCAAATGTTAGCAAACCATCACACGGTTTCATCTTAGTGCTTGGTCATTTTAGTTGCTAAATATTGTTTACACTCTTTAAATGGTTATTGCAGATCTAAAATAAATAACACACTGTATATTATATCTGTATATACCTGTATATAATTTGCGAAGATCAGAATATGCCAGATATTAAAGTTTATGCGTTTTAGGAGGACCAGCAATACACCCACTGAACGTAAAGAGAACATGTCAAAATCCACGATTTGGAGAACAGTTTGCATACTACTCGTTCAATAAGCACTCATTTGGGTACGTATATAAGACTGAAGAAAAGCAAAAGAGTATAATAAAACAAAAGTATAATTACCGTCATAAACTATTGTTACAAAGTCAATAGTAAAGAACAGAGTACATGAAATTGCTTATGGAATGCGTGTGAAAATAGTCTCGTATCACAAACATAATTTATTTCAAGAGACGTTAAAGGAGTCTCTTTAACACAATCAGTCGAGTTGGGCTGGACCGTTACATAGACTGAATTAAATAGTGAATTGTACCAGTTAAATAGTTTGTTCTGGTATACGGTACGGTATAATTTCTGATATAAAGTATTGTTACAAAGTACATGAAATTGCGTATGAAATGCCTGAGTGAAAATAGTCTCGTATCACAGACATAATACATTAATTAGTGAATGGTACCAGCGTACAAATGTGTTCTGGTATACGGTACTCTGTTCTGATGCTGCTTCCAACAGGTTCTGTCTCCACGACCGAGAGAGCCAGTTCTGCCGTGACACCAAGGAATACAGACAGCACCAGGCCGACAAACTCCGAGATGACTTGATGAAAGTTGCAGGAACCACGATGACCAGGAGTGCGATAGAGTCGGAGCTACAGAAGTGTGTTCTGGACAACTGTGGAGGATGTCCTGGCAAAGGTATGACACATGTGCAGCGGTTACTTCAAGGGTTCCTTATTGTATCCATTCCTGCTACCTTGCCGTGAAAATCCGGGTTAGTACTGGTCTTCAGCAAACCATGCTTGTCGTAAACGCAGAGTTCCTTGACGCACCTTGACAAGTTGTTGTTGTTCTTTTTAATCAAACAGTTCTTCTGCTATTTGTGCAGGAAGTCCGCGTTGCTCTGAAATTAACTTCTTTCATATTATTACCATATGGTACGGATTCAGTTCTTTGAATGTTAACATTAGTGTCTGTTTGATGCTGATGCTGAGGTTGCTGTTATAATCTGTTTTTGTTGATGACAAAAATTGTTATTTCCCAGGATCAACGTGGGACAAGAAGGTTGAAGGGTGTCTGGGAATGGTCCACACGTACCTGACTCTTGCCAACAACCAGTTCAGTAACGTGGTCGACAGAGCTGCCTTCTTCAACACTGAGAATGCCGAGTCCAGCGTTCACTCTCTAGCGTGTCATGATGATGCCCTGTGCGTTGAAAAGACGCAGCTATACTCACTCATAAGTACGAAACATTTCTTAATGGACTGACCTAGGCCTATCTTAACCTTTGAATAAGAATTGATCTTCATCATGCTTATTGTAAGAGTCGACTAGCGGGATCGGGTGGTCAGGCTCGCTGACTTGGTTGACACGTGTCATCGTGTCCCAAATGCGTAGATTGGTGCTCATGATGTTGATCACTGGATTGTCTGATTGATTGTTTACAGACCGTCGCCATATAGCTGAAATATTGCTGACTGTGGCGTTAAACAACAAACAAACGTAAGTACGAACTGAACTTTCTACAGAGCCAGTTGATTGTAGATTTATTAATCATTATTGTCAGGAGGAATATGTTTTGGCAAAATAATCTTATTGTTATCATACAATAATGCAACGTTTATGTTATACTAAAACATCATTTGTTTAAAAAACTGAAATTGTACTTCCAGTGCCTCTGTTGAACTCCAAGTACAAGCCTGACCCCAAACAGAGCAGGGAGGAGTTGTTGTACAGCGGCGACAACAATCCTTCACCACTGATATCTCTGATAGAGCAAGAGTTTGCAAGACAAGTGTCTGGGGTTGTGAAGGTTTATATAGAGTCGGAGACAGACATGGCTGCCCTGAGAGATGTTATAAAGGTATAAGGGATAATTCGAAGATTTTGTGATGATAATGCTAAAACAATGAGTGAGTTTCAGTAAGTAAGGTTTTACGCCACTTTTAGCAATATTCCAGCAATATCTCGGCGGGGTACACCAGAAATGGGCTTCACACATGTTACCCATGTGGATAATCCAATCCGGACCTTTGGCGTGATGAGTGAACGCTTTATCCACTAGGCAACCGCCAAACGTCCCGCCAAATAATACTAGAAAAAGAAGTGAATACGTTTGGAATCAGAATGAATCCCTGAAAAATTACGACCTGTATTCTACATGAACGCTTAAGATATTATCTCATTATGAGTGTTCGGTCCTTTGGTATGTATCTGGTACATTATAAGTTGTATGCTTCTCTCGAGGGTAATACGGTCTGAAGTACGCCTCTTTGCAGCAGCGTCACCCGAGCCGGTAGGCGAGGGATGACACTGCTACAAAGAGGCGTACATCAGACCGTATTACCCGAGGGAGAAGCATACAGCGTATTTATCTTACAGCCATGTTACAAAGAGACGTACATCAGACCGTATTACCCGACGGAGAAGCATACAACGTATTTATCTTTAAGCCATGTTAAATGTACAAAATATCATCTTATTTTATTTTAAAGATAGCTACCGACTATGTGACATGAAAACAAAATGGCGTCTGCCTCTTGACTGGATGTTTATATCAGTGAAACATATTCTGACAACCTTTACATTTCTATAAAAAATGTTAATTATGTTTAAGTTGAGTGTGCAAACGATTCAATATATAAAATAGTTTAAATAAAGCAGTGTAAGTCAGTAAAATAAATCTGTACATAGTGAACTCAAAAACAGCTAACGGTTTTCGTACTCTGGACACTGCATGCGTCATATTATGACGTCATACGATTGTTAGCGATACAGCTTCACGGCGGACAGTTTGGCGGTTTCCGTGGCAGCGGAATAATATTTTTTCCAGTTGTCACCCTCCTGGGAGAGGTGACACGGAAACTTGTTAAAGCGTCATTGACCAATGAAATTACAGTATTTCGTATGAAAGTAAGATAAGCAGATTTATTCTTTCTTCTCCCATGTCGTGTATGGCGTATTAGATTAGGAAAAATTAATACTGGCTCATTCAATACATGGATTTTCTCAAAGTATTAAACAAAACAGGGACTGTAACAGAATATATTTGTCTCCATAGAAATACAAAGCCATTGTTTCACACGGATATGTGATATTCCAGATCCTGATGATCTACAACCGGGACGTGACTGAGGTGGAGTTCCATCTGACGGACACGGTGGACCAGGACAACGTCATGTCCGCCCTGCAGAGGAAGCTGGAGTACTGGTCGGGGACGGCCTGTCCCCGGTGGAGTCGGTTTGCTGTGGCTGGGTACAGCGTCCATGACATCCACCATCACAGGAGGAGGAGGAGTCTAGAGAGGAGCAGGAGCAGGAACAAGGTGAAGAAAGCCATGAAGGAGTGGGAGCTGGACTGGATCAAGAAGATGTGAACTGATGGACTTATTGTAGACGTGCTGATGGCTATGACGTATTTTATGCAAATAATGATTTTATATGTATTCCGAGTATATCAAATATTAGATTTCCTTTATTCTAATATCCTAGTGCTTCCTATTTTGACACTGCAGTTATCTCACCGTGCGATGGAACATATCCTTCTGTGAGTTATGAGCATAAACATTAATTTGGACTGGATCCTATCGTTACTCGGCATAGTGCGAGGCAATGCGACCTGTATAAGTATACTTCCACACAAATTATGTTGTCTGTAAAAATGATTTACTTTTTATGTAGTGCAAATAAACAGTGGCATCAACTGTCATATGTATTTCTTTTTAACATTATTAACGGATGAAGCATTTCTATAACCACTAAAACTATTCTGTTTTTAAATGGATCAGCCAATCACTGAGACTGACTGATCAGTGTTGGTGTTCGGGTGAATATATTTGTTTCTGTTGTTTAACGCCGCACACAATATTCCAGCTATATGATCACGGTTTGTAAATAAGTCGAGTCGAGTCTGATCACTTATCCAGTGATAGACATCATGCGCATCGATCTACGCAACTGGGATACGATGACATGTGTCAACCTAGTCAGCGAGGTGGACCACCTGATTCCGTTAGTCGCCGTTACGACAAACATGCGTTACTGAAGATCAATTCTAACCTTCACGGATCATAAAACTTGGTGCGGCTAAATGGTAAAGAGTAAGCGGCACCAACTACAAACCATACGATGGTCCCCTAAAAGAGCGAAGCCTATTCCAGACAATACAGTTTCATTATGATACGACACCGCACCTTCAACCATGCCTGGCCATTCTATTCAGTGCCAGTGAGTAAGCACTGCAACCTTCCTGGAAAATGAGGATATGGGATAATATCGCGCATCATATTGACAAGCAACGAGGGAACCAATAAAATGATTGCAGAAATGTAAGGATCATGAACAGGTCTCTGAAATTAGATTACATTTGTGGCGTCATTCCATTGTCTGCTCGCTCCATTACTTTTCAGGAATGGAACGATGTGTACAAGTTTCAAATTTAAGACTTTATTTTGTCATTTTGACATTTAACTTTGATAACAGAAATATTACCAATACTTTGAATGTAATTTAGTAGATAGGGTAATATCCTCGTAACTCTTCATTTCTTAAAAATAATGGGCCTCGGCTCCATTATTTTGAAGGAATGGAGAATTCCTCAGACATTACCCTCTACTTAATTTCGAGTGTATATATCAATATCTGGTCTCTCAACCATGTTGACTGAAGGCACAGGTATACTGTTGATAATTGCCAGTTAGTTCCCACTGAAGACCTGTCCCACGTATGCAACTGCTGGTAATCGGCCTTACACTCTCCGCCAAAGAACATCCCACTGAGACTCGGGACTTTGCGTCCCAGTCCAATATATGTATGTCCTCTCGACGGAGATCATCGGTGAGGCCATGGGCTTTATGTGGTCTGCCATTGATCTGCCAATATAATTCAACATATCTACCAATATTTCTAACTAATGGAACAACGGCAGGACGCAAGATTTTCTGAACATAATCTGTGATCATAAAGATGTCCATTCACGATAACAATAAATCATTACAATATTGTGATAGACTGGATCCATTTTGTATATTCTTATACTGGAATCTGTGAATCTTTCTGAAGTATAGAGGAAAACTGAGGGTGATTTCATTGTGACCAATCGGTTTTTGTGTTTTGCTCCTCTGGAAGATGTAGCAAATCAGTTAATCTTATTTGAACAACGTTTTCTGGTTTGCTACTCTTTCTGTACCCATAACATCTGTATGTATTAGAAGATGAGGGAAAGTATTTCATCACAGGGCTCATCAAGTTTCCAACTTTCGCACTTTCAAGCAAACGGAAATTGTCATAAATAGATTATCTGAGTTGACCGTTTCATATTGATAGTTTCTGTTGTGAGTCATCATCAGGGAGCAAACTACAAACATGACATTCAGGAAAGTTACGGTACCATGGGTCATATTCAGTCATAATATAGTCTGGACCAGACAAACGTGCGGCGCCGTCGGGAAGAGCGCCCATCCATTCAACCAATTCACTGAGCATGCACTGCTGTAGCCTTTTACTACAAGCATATGCCTCTGGTCTCGTATCTCCTCGTGCTAAGCAATATTCACCTAGCTCTTTCTTCAAGCCCTTCGATCTGATAGTCGATGAGAAACAAGTTTCCCAAGTTTGATATCATGGACAACGTATCCGTTTGGATGAGAATATTTGGCGTTAAAAGTCGTTTCAAATGCAAAAGGTGGCGCGAGTAGCCATCACGTCCACAACGTAATACACAATAAAGCCAAGGGGCACACCTGAATATGAGATCAGAAAGTGTACAAACCAGAACAACTAAACACTAATTGGTCTGTTGGTAAAGGCACATGGCCTCCCCACACATAAAGAAAGAGAAGCCATTGTAACTAGTCCATTATTGATCTAATTTTCACTACTTTTACGAACAAAGGAATCTCATTCGGCTAATTCTTCTCTGGTGTTGACGTTTGAACATGGTTTTCAAGTTTGCCTATACACATTGTATTTGAATGGCAATAATGAATGAATAGTGCAACATAAACGAATTCCTATACGTTTGAAGAGTATAACTGATTTATAATTGATAGTTTTATGCCGCTTTTAGCAATATTCAAGCAATACCACGGTCAGGAAAAAAGGGGCTTCACACATTGCACCCATGTAGGAAGGAACCGGGTCTTCGCCGTGACGAGCCACGCTTTAACCACTAGGCTACCTCACTGCCCCCGAAGTAGAATTTATCTCAAAGGTACCTGTCGGTACTACATATCTTAGATGGTAATAGGAAACCAAAGGACATAATTGCACTTCATGTGTGGGACATTGTATCACAATACTTATTGAATAAAACTCATATCAAGGTACATAACCTAAAGCAATGTCGTGTATGCAATATTTATTTTTAAAAAGGAAAGCAATACATTGTTTTTAGTCAGTGTATACATGTTTATGGACACAAGCATATTTAGGAACGCTTATCTTTGTTAACACATTAGCCTACGTGGTATAGAACACACATCTAAGGGTCATTTGAAAGACATGTCCTTTCCAAAGAAATTGCAGATCACACCTGGGACTTTACAATCCTCAGTTGTCAAGCATGAGTACAGGTAGCTTTAGTGTCAAGAGTCTTCTCTTATCTTTGAACGATATGACGTTGATTAAAGTGGTGATCTAAGTGGTGATTTTGGAAAATGGCATCTCAAGCTTTCCATATTCAACATGAATCATCACGTTTTGCACGATCGGCATACTCATTAGCTGATTGACAGTACGTGGACCTGCAAAAGTTGCTACATCTATTTTTTTCTCATGTATTTTTATTTCTTTTATGTGTACATATATGCAATGGTGCGAACATCTCAATCTGACTGGGCAGAGACTTTCTATTCCATAATCTAACCACCCAAAATCTTAACCTTACCGAATTCCCGACACTGTTACATCCGTTGGGATATCGCACTTGTAAATTAAAACGTCTGTCCCGCTTCATCAATTTGTAATTGCCAGCTTCCTAATTCGGGCTTTATTTAAGAAATACAGTTCGCTCTACCACCATGTATAGTGTAATAAAAGCACACTTTCGCCCTGAACTATTATAGTTAAAGTACGAGGACGCTTGCGTCATGGTGGTAGAGAGAACTGTATTTCTGAGGTCGCGGAGTTCGATCCCCAACCCCGTCATACCAAAAGACGTTAAAATATGGTACTTGTTGGTCCCTGCCTGGCGCTCGGCATTAATGGGTACATCAAGGACTGGTCGGCTCGAGTCAGTATAATGTGTCTCAGTGGGGTATTCATGCTTCACTGCGGCAAGGTATCTCAGTGGGCTAACACTATAAAGCCAGCTTCAGTCTGGGCTAGTACAAGCATGCACATACATACACACGCATGCACGTCGTTATGTGAGCGAAATATTCTCAAGTACGACGTTAAACCCGATTTCACCTCACACCACCTTCACCTCAATGTATTTCTTATCAAAGATGCCAAATTTAATACTTTCTAAGGATAATTACGATTAATTTAAGGCAGAAACCAAATGACGGTGTCGGTGACCTAAATTAAGAATCCTCGCACAGGGCTAACTGGCGCGCTGTTCTATTGATGCGCCTTCCCCACCCCACCCCATCCCACGTTAAGACGAACGTTACCAGAACAATGCAAATGATAACAGTTTGATGACGGTTTACGTTCGGATTAAATATCTTCTCTGAAATTATTTTAATTACATCTGTCATTAACGTTAACCATATGGGGCAATATGAACGTCGCATTTCTACTACCAACGTAAGTTTAGATCAGTACACCCAGATGAAGCTAAGTAGTCAAGCGACATTCCACGATTGCATTGTGGGAATGTCGCTTCGTTGAAACATTGCATGTGGAACGTTACTGTTTCGCTCGCTTGGAAACTTGTGAGTCGAATTGACACATTTTAACCGTCGTAAAACATAAACGTAATGTTTCCACCAGTGATGCTAGCTGCGTGAACCAACTGCAAACCAAGAAACGGGATGCAACGGAGTAGTTTACTGTAGGAGGCCGTACGAGGCGATGACAACTGACATGCATCGTGACGTCGCTTACATTGTGACGTAATGGAAAATGGTTTGATTACGAGGGGCACACTAGAATGGCGCAGTGACGGGATAACGTCATTCAGTTGTTACGTGATCAAAAACTAAACCTTTATTGTCTGATAATGTATTTTTTCGATTGTTCTAATCGCTAGGCATCTTAGAATTCACTTTCTGGAGGTAGTTTGTCTTCGTTGTACTCGCTCATTTGTAAAAGCTAAGACAATACCAACCATATTATATAACTGATTAGAAAGGTTGGTGATTAATGAATGTCGAACAGAGAAAAGCTTTGTAACTCATACATCACTGATAAGCAGCTTATAGCATAGAATATATTTTCACACCAACACCACGGCTCGTTCTTTATCAAGACCTCAACGTACCCGTCCTGCAACTGTTGGTCGAGGTGTAGATAACTGGGTTTTTATACTCCATGGTATGATACAAGTCGTCTGTCAGTAAACAGAATAACGGAAAGAACACAGCAATGGATAGTAAGAGCCAGGTGAGTAACTTTAACCAACTCACATTTACTCATTAAATACGGCTGAAGATATTATGTTTCTGTTAATGTAACTATATATCTCTGCATATAATTATGTAGTTGCAACCGATATTTCCTGCAATATGGTGGAAATAATATTAATTTGTACTGTGCGTATTTTAATTCATCACCAATGTGTATCGATTATTTACCAATAAGAGATTTTTTCAAGAGATGTGTTAACAGATGAATGCAGTCAAAATAGTCTAGCAATTGTTCTGACATTGATCCATTTTCCTGCAGTGACTTCAGCATGACAATGAAGAGAACGTGGTGCTGCCTTGCGCTTCTTACAATCTATATTTGTTCTTCGACGGAAGGTCTTAGTAGTTCTGGGTATGGTTAGCCTTAGGTCCGTAATGCAGATTTTACATTAACTAACATGTGCATAACTAAATAGTCAAGTAATAGTTGGTGAGTAGAGACAACATAAGTGACCAAACAATTCAAACAATTTTCCAATCATTTGTGTAGATAATTTTATTGTCTCTTATTACTGTAATACTTCGTAAATATTCTAACTGTTTTACATGATATTGCTATACATGTGTATCTCAACTGTTTTAGATCACACGTTTGTTCTCATACTGCCTACGCCACCGAGTCCTATCAGGATAGATATACAACATCGTGTGGCTTCATCTACTTTTCACGGTGCAATCGCTATCGAACAAGGTGAATATGATGTACTTAATTTTTAAAAGCAACAGATATATGTAACTCTTTCAAGTTGAGATCGTCAATTAAATATCAAACTTTCATGTTTGCATTTACCTATTAACTCTCCGTGCGAAGCCCATTTCTGGTGTCCCCGCCGTGAAATTGCTAGAATATGGCTAACAGCGGCGTAAGAACCAACTCACTCACTATTAACTCTCCATTTTCTTGATAATTATGAATGCATAGCGCAGTACACACGATTTCGCATCACTGATTGGGCATGGATAGGGCATTGTTTGATTTTTCAAAAGCATAATGCTTTTAGAATAAATATTATATCAAGGTAGAGTGAAGAACATAATTTGATGCAATTATTTGTATGCTGTATATTTTCTAAAGAAAACAGTATATTGCGTTTAATGAGTGTATAAATGTTTACTGACACTATGTCCATTATTTCAAAACCTTCTTTCTTGTTATATTTATGTGTGTCAACTTTTGTAATATGTAATCTGGGTCTACGACACATGAAATGGTCCATATGTGTGTCTGTGAAATATGTCTTTGCGTAAAACAATGTATTTTAACATTTAGATGTAGCATGAGCATATTATTTCAGTTGATTGTGAATAGATATACTTGTGAAAGACTCAAAGAGGTAGAATACCATTTTCGTTGTAGTTTGTGAAGTAAATATATTAGGTATAAAAATAGTCTTTAGTCTTTATTCATGTGAATGTAGGCCATCGGCCCATGGTACAACGTTATACATTGGCAGCCTTCAAGCTGTAGCGACGACGATTGTTAGCATAGAAGATAAACATGGCAAGATTTCTTAACACAAGAGGAGTAGCATTACTCATCAGTCGATTAAATTTACACAAGGTTGGATGGGTGAAAACATCGACAGGGATAAAACGTTTACGTAGATCATCATAGGCAGTACAAATCAGTAAAAGTGGTACTCATTTTCTACATAGTTACAGGAACACATTTCACACAATCTTGAGTTTTTTGGTTTCTTTATATATCTACCAGTTTCTATATTCAGTTGGTGTGAACTACACCTGAACCTCGCTAAGGCAATAAAATACATTTTAGACACATTTCACAATAACTGTTCACGACAGTTTTGTATGAAACCTGTCTTTGTTTGTATATCTGACTTGTATGTTTACCATTACCAGATAACGTCCATGTGTCCGATAACAGTATTGATAAAACACGTCAGTTATAAGCTTATTGAAAACAGGCTAATATAGTTTCTTACAAGTCTAGTTTTATAGCACGTTACGCTTTTTGTACACACTTTTCATATATATTTATGCACCTCAATATTATTTCATGTTAAATACCATTTCCACAAAATCAATTTCTTTCAACTAAGTGTTAATCACATTTTGTTTTGAAGGTACCGAAGAAGATCATGGAGTGTGTATGAATGCTGCGATGGATGGCGAAGTACCAATGGTGTAGACTGCAGTTCAGGTACCTACTCACAGAATAAATCATTCAAATAAATCATAAATCATCCAGTTTTATATGAATAATTGTATCATTGTACAATGCGTGACAATGGTTATTACATTACAGTAGTTATTTGCTGTCTACATACTGTTGTCTTCTCCAGCCATCTGTTACGGCAAGGACAACGCTCAGGGGCTTGCAGCGGGAAAGGAAGCTGTGTTGCTCCAGACAAGTGTTCCTGTTACACTGGCTATACTGGATTACAGTGTGGTAAGCGTCATGTATAGGGACCCGTGAAGGTCCGGGTTAGAATTGATCTTCAGTAACCCATGCTTGTCATAAGAGGCGACTAACTAAGACTAGCTGACTTGGTTGACACATGTCATCGTATCCCAATTACGTAGATCGATGCTCATGCTTGTTCGCGACTGGCTTGTCTGGCCCAGACTCGATTATTTACAGACCACCGCCATATAGCTGGAATATTGCTGAGTGCGGCGTAAAACAACTCGCTCACTCACATGTATTAAGATTCTAAACCATGGGTATACGCTGCTGCAATCGGTTGTTATTTCATAGGGAATACTTGTGATATTAACGCCTCTTGAATGACATGTCGTGCCACAACTTTATCACTACACGACTTATCAATCGGAACCCGGTTAACATGATGACAGGTACTGAAAGGTCACATGCAACCAAAAAAATCAAACATAATTAAAACACAATAATCACTTATTCATGACATATCTTATACATTGCTGATTATGAAAATACATATTAACAAAAGTATAAGCGTACAATCACAAATCAAAAGTGCAATATTTTGTACTTGGGTTTACTTCCCAAGAAACGAAGCAGCCGGGATACCGAACCCAGTCAGAGCTCAAGTGTAACGGCTGGTTCATTTGCAGATGCCCTCACGGCTCATTGTGTGTGTATATATAGAGATGTTGGGGTTTGTAAATACATGTTCATTTTTGTGTATACCATTTTGCAATCAACAGACATCATAACATGTCATGTGTACAAGTATCTGTCTGTGTAATTACATTATGTGACAGAGACCGAACTCGGGCCATAAATCAATGCGTTTTGTTTATGATGTTTAGCCTGATAGGTGTTAAGTTCAAATTGCATGTGGTCAGTGATAGCAGCTGTGTATTGAATATTGTCATTAGCAGACAGGCAGGCAGACACATAGGTGTCAATAAAACAGACATTGAGTTTTGTCTGTGACAACAACATATCTATATCACAGTTAGAAATTCTGTCAACGCTAAATGATGACATTGCTTTTAAGCATCGAACTGAGAAAGTGACTCGGTAAGAAGAACGTGTGGTGAAATAGACAAGTGAAATTATATAAACATTTAAAACGGTAATCTACTGTCATAACATATAAAAAATCTCGCACCTGTGACATATCAACAAAACATTAGAAAACAGCTCACACCAAAGCCTTCACCGAGTATTCACCGGACAACCCGCTTCCAAGCTGCGCGAACCTATTTCACTGCGCATGTGCTATGAGCGCAGCCCAGCTGTTGAAACCACTTTTCCCCCAAGCGCTGGGAGAAAATTAGTGAATCGTTTGAACTCCGATTTCGCGCAGTTTTTTTTCATCGCGTTATTTTTCAACTTTATAAGTTGAATTTGCATTTTGATGATTTGTTTCGATAAGTCCATACCGAAAGGTATCAGAATCTACAAAGTTGTGTTTTACGTTGTTTGTGACCTTTAAGGATATGTGACACAGTTCCATCAATGTCAGTCAGATTCCCCAATACTACTCTCGATGCTCTAACGCCCGAACAGGGATTCCGAAGAATTGTGGCAGAGCTTTATAAATCGATGCCAAGTGTAACAATATTGAAAAATGTGGTGAGTGAGTGGTGAGTGAGTGAGTGAGTGAGTGAGTGAGTGAGTGAGTGATTTAAACTTAAAGTCACACTGGCAATATTTCAGCCACATCGTGACTAAAACAAGTCATTTATTTATAATAGATACAGTAGTATTATACAATATGTCGACAAAGGTCAGTGGAATAACTAAATTATCACAGATAGAGAATTAAAACGAGCATGGAACTTTAAAATTAAACCTCCATTATGGACAACACAATATAAAAACAGGTTATAGATCGCCAACAACTTGAGGTAGGTCACCATACCAGGGGCCATGGGAACCTGCATGGACCCAAGCTGGATTTAGTCAAATTTAGCCATCACTAAAATCACAAATATACCACTTTTTAAAACATATTGTAAGCTTAAATTTACTAATAGACAATTATAATTGGCTTAAATAGGTGTGTTGAATTTATGCTAACTGAGATTTTCACAGCTTCAGTCTGCTGCTACTTAACTGTTCAGAGAAGGTTTTCTGTTTTGTCATTTCAGAGAAATGTCTTGATGCTCGAGGTGATGCTAACTATTCAATCTGGTGGCGCACAAACAGCCATCCTGACTGTGCTCGTGAGTTCCAATGTTATACCATAAGTACATAGCCTTACATGTACTCATTGATTATTTGCATAATTTGTGAAGTTGCGTCATTTTGAGGAGAAGGCTGATTTCCCATGTTTAATATGTTCGATATTTGTCAGTGACCTGTTCGTGGAAGAACCAATGGTGTTGGCCAGGGACTGCCCCGACTCCAGATTGAGGACGTCCTGTACATGTCGAAAAGGCTTCGTTAAGAGAGATGGAGGTTCCAGCTACACAAAGTGTGACCGTGAGTGTATAAGTGTTAGCCATGCATTTGATTTTCCATTACCATTTAAGCTTGGAAACTGTCCAAACAAGAAAAAATACTTCGTGATTGCCGTGTATGTTTATATAAATCTATGTGTTTATGTACGCGTGTGCGTATGTGTGGGTTGCGTGGGTTGTGTGGGTGGGTGGGGTGTGGGTGGGTGGGTTGGGGTGTGAGTCGGTGGGTTGCAGTGCTGTGTCCCTAAAACATTAGATGTATGGATTGTACCAAGCAGCCTGATCGACTAAACTCCAACGATGTTTATGATCACGATTGTTACATCCACAGTTACTGAAAACCCGAACTTCTAACCTGCAACATTGGGATGACCGATGCACACAACAGCATAAGGAACTCCACACATGGGTCCATCACTGGCTGTGCGCATGAGGCAGATACCTACGTCAACTTGAAGCCAAAATCTGTTTACTATCTGCTCTTCTCAGAGTTCAGCAACATTGACAATACAAATCCCCCAAACTATATCTATGACCAAGACTATGGAATTGTGACTTCATTGGCAAAAGTGAAGAGGATTCTCATCAATGGTACAGTGTTTGTAAGACTCTCACCGATAAATGATGGGTGTTTATTCTTTTACGGTATTCGTGAAAATTGTCAAGAGTGAGTAAAAGATATGATTTTAACCATATTCCATATATTTATTGGGACTAATTTTGTATTAAAACAAAGTCAATGAAATATAAGATCCATAGAGAATACAAATGATCTGATCAATGACAAAGTTAAAATTGTTCGAGTATTCATTAATTTACAATTAATCATGACCAGTTCAAACTGTCGTCTTCTTTTCCTTTGAATAAACCAGCATGTTTATGTTCTTTACATTATGGAGTTGGTCGTTTTCAATACAGGAGCCGAGACTACTTTGTCAACAATACCATTACATGGGACCAGTGGCTGTTCGAAGGCTCTGAGTGATACTTCACCGTCTAAAACTCTAACATGTTCAAGGACTCTTCCAATATCAACAGATCTGCGTGATGGAGAGAGGTACCTTCTTACAAGCATATTACCACACATAAGGCACATTCGTTAAATAGGACGTATTTTCTTAAAAATGAGTTCCAATTTATTATTATGATAAAATGATAATTAGAGATCAAGTACATGACGCATCAGTGAAGGAAGGTGTCATTTAGTCGGGTACCGTACGTTGATATGTTGTTTTGACTACATCACGAAAATTACCCATCGTTTCGGTTGAACCGGTTCGCGAAAAGTGTACCGCAATATATCGTATTGTGAAGTTCGAATTGCAATATACCGGTTAACCGGTGTTATCGACCACCCCTACCAGTGATGTCTGGCTAGTTGGTTTGGCTTATTTCAAACACTGCTCGTGTATACACTGAGCTTGGAATGTAAATAGGGTGGGAAAAGTGTCTGCTGTGATGAACTATATATGTTTAAATGTCAACTGTGTTTTAGAATTCGTATTAAATCATGTGTATTACAGTGAGTATAAATTCACGAAATCTCTATTTTTTGTTTCAGTAACCATGTGTGTCACCATACAGTGACATACAAGGTTTCAATTAAAGAGAGCTACAAGGTGCACTGTAAGATTTTTGGTTGGGGCCGATGCACGAAATATCGGACAAAGTAAGTACAATTTGATGTATTGCAAAACCCTTTTCATCCACATGCATGCTCTCCAACGTCTCCAGTTGTCAGTGCTTGAAATAGTGTATTTCCCTTAACGAAACTCCATCACAAGGGATACATATTTCAGTGTTAAAACTGTTAAGGGTCTTTTTTCATAATGTTAACTGCCATTTTATTACTGAATATTTAAAATCGATAGAATTGATTGACACACTTTGATGTTTTGTAAATAGATGTACTTTTATGATTGGTAGTTTGGATTAGTAACCGAGATTGTTAGTGGCTGTATCCTCAAAGGGGGTGAAAGTACTGTAAACTTATTGTCCTTCTGAGAGGATACGTAAGTCATAAAACATTCAAAGTAAATTTAAATCTACCACATTCTTTAATCGTAGGATACATGTTATTTTAACTTATGGCTAGATTTGTCTACAATCGCTGATATCTGAAGGGATGGTGTAAATCAAGCTAGGGTCCATGCAGGTAGCAAAGGCACTGTAAGTCCCTATGGTCCCTAGTATGGTGATCCATCTTCAGTTGATGGCGACCTATAGCCCATTCTTAAACTGTATTGTCCTAATTTGAAATCCAATTTTGCAGAGAGATGCTAGTTTTATTTATTGATGCTGTGATTTTCAAGTTGGTTTTACTGTCTTTGTTGACAGGGTTTCATAATGTGATTGCGTTTATTGTGAATTTATAACTTTTAAAGTCACGATATTGCTGAAATTGCCGCTGTGACTATAAATTTTAACTCACTCACTCGAAAACAAAACCTTCTTCCTTTGTGTTAGTTTTCAACAATGTTGGTAATGAAACGGCTCCCACGTTTGGGGTTTCCAAGAGTATCTGTTGCCAATTCCTTGTCTCATGATGTCAATTTCCAAATATCCTTGTGCAACTTACCATCGCCGATGATAATACCTGCTGACTGAACCCGTGAAGATCGGGCTTAGAAATGGTCTTCATAAACCCATGCTTGTCGTAAGAGGCGACTAACGGGATTTGGTGGTCAGACGCGATGACTTGATTAACAAATGTCATCGTATCCCATTTGCGTAGCTCCATTCTCATGATGTTGATCACTGGATTGTCTGGTCCAAACTCGATTATTACAGGCATAAATGCATCACTTTAGTTTTAAAGCCAGTTTGTCAAACTATCAATAATGTTTCCTTATTAATACATTACCATGCCCCGTGAAATCTATACAGTTTTCTCAGGACGAGAAGACAATTAAATTTGAGAGTTGTGATATACTTCGTCACCCCAATGTGCATTACAGGCCACCCGTATACTTTGATCTAGTGACACAAGTGGTGTGTTGTTTACAAAAATATATAGATATATCAACTACAAATCGTTGCGTTGTCACAATTGTACATATTTTCCGGTCATGAGGACATTTAGGTGAGGTACTGTAAGTCCCCATGGACCCTAGTATGGTGATCTACCTTCAGTTGTTGGCGATCTATAGCACGTTTTTTTATATATTGTGTCTTTCATAGTTAAGATGTTGTAGATTTCCATACTAGTTATACAATTATATCTTTGATATTCTAGTTAGTTTTACTGTCCTTCGCCGGCGGGTTTTTATAATTTACCATGATTTATTATGAAATTATAACTTGTTTTTAGACACGATATGGCGGCAATATTGCCGATATGACTTAAAATCTTAACTCACTCACATTTAGGTGATCGTTGTTACTTTATCCCTTGAGTATACATGATATGGTTTATGTGAACTCCAGGTGTATATTTTCAGGTATGAATCACGGTCACGTCTGAGCTATTCGTGCTGCTCAGAATGGAAGTCATCCAACAATGTAGACTGCAGCTTAGGTGTGTTGGTATCATCTGGCGTACTCTGCCACCACGTACTGAATACGTACGAATCGGAAAGTAAAAATGTTATGCGGTCAGGGTACAAGAACATGTTTTCGTTTCAAAGGATCATTTTGGTTTGTTCTCTTCCTGTGATGACATTTTTTTGTCTGACTTTCCTGTCATAAGACCTGTGAAAGATCTGGGATAGAATTGGTCTTCAGAAACCCATGCATGCTTGTAGTGGTTAGAGCGTCCGGCCGGAGAGCTGAAGGTCGCGGGTTCGATCTCCGACCGCGTCATACCAAAAGCCGTTAAAATATGATACTTGTTGGTCCCTGCCTGGCGCTCGGCATTAATGGGTACATCAAGGACTGGTCGGCTCGGAGTCAGTATAATGTGTCTGAGTGGGGTATTCATGTCTAACTGCGGCATGGTATCTCATTGAGCTGGCACTATAAAACCATAAGTCTGGGCTAGTACAAGCAGCTACACATACACACGCATGCAAGTCGTCATATGAGAGAAATATTCTTAAGTACGACGTTAAACCCAGTTTCACCTCACCTCGACAAAGTTGTTTCCCCATTCTGCCAGGATCCGGCGGGCAGTCCATATATGGTCAATATAACCAACATTTGGCATTCAAACATTTTGGATAAACCTACAAATTTGGCTTACCAATTATTATCCACATCCATTGAAATTATCAAAAAACATGATTTGGTTTGGTACTCAACATGAAAATAGATTACTAAATCACATCATCATTGCTGCAAAGAGACATATTCACTTATGCTGTATTAAAAATATGCTTCCAAATCTCTATATATAAAAACTCTAAAAGAAATATTCTTTGTGGAAAAACATATATCAGCCAAAAATGATAATATAAATAATTTCCTTCATAAATGGAGCCTTCTCTCCTCAGTACTTAGATGACTTGAACTGTATTGACTTGTACCTGACATTATCTGTACATTATCTATTTAATGAATTATGCATGTTTATAAATATGTTAATACAAAATTATCTTACCTGTACATCTGTACATTATCAACTTAATGAATTATGCATGTTATAAATATATTAATACAAAAATATCTCACCTGTACATCATGTAGCCATATTTCTTTAAGCCGTACGTATCCCGGCTTGGTATATCTGCAATATTGTAATCTTGGGAACCAATAAAAAAAACAATAAAAATTAAAAACATTTGGCATTCAGCAGAACATTTAATTTTACTAAACTCTGACATGTCTGTGATGTCAGAATGGCCATTAAGTATTAAGTGGGGTTTTTTTGCATAAAATGTTTCCATGCCGCCATACGTTCTCACTCCAAATAACTCTTTACAGATGAAAGGAATGGGTTGTGCGAAATTATTTCTTTTTATATTGCCGACATATTAAGATGTTAAGATTTGCAAGCAACATAATTTCTAGACTCATCCGCAGCAGGAATACCTCAAAATACCGCACTGTGAAAACATGTTGAAAGAAAAATCCGCTATTATGTAACTGGATTGTCTAGTCCATCACATGATTGTCTGGTCGATTTATTTCAGGCCGGGTTCGAATGCATCTGCATAGCTGACACTTTATTCTATGGCCTGTTTGATTGTCATTTTTAGAAGTTGATGAATAAGAAAAAGGTGTGATACTTATGGATGTCAACTTCGTAATTATATTATGATGCGACGTTTCGGTAAGGATTCTTATGAAAACGGTATACGAATCTATAAGTTGTCATCCATAATGTATCATAGCTCTCTTTAATTATTCCATGGCGTTGATGTAATGTTGTCGGGGGGAGACGGGGTAGCCTAGTGGTTAAAGCGTTCGCTCGTCACGCCGAAGACCCGGGTTAGATTCCCCACATGGGTACAACGTGTGAAGCCCATTTCTGGTGTCCCCCGCCGTGATATTGCTGGAATATTGCTAAAAGCGGCGTAAAACCATACTCACTCATTTTATTGTCGGCGTAATGGCAAATCTCTTTTATGGTAAACAAATATCTCTGACAAGGAGGGTTTTATTAAAATATGATTGTGTGTCCTTGTTGTCTCCTCCAGCCATCTGTTACGGCAGGGACAACACTAATGGAGCTTGCAGCAGGAAAGGAAGCTGTGTGTCACCAAACAGGTGTACCTGTCACACTGGATACATGGGATCAGAGTGCGGTAGGCGTCATGCCTCTATTTAATACATTTCTATACAGTGGGTAAACACGATTCCAGTGTGGTAGCATTACTGATGTCGCACCGCATATATCCGTCGAAAACCGAGGAAGCACGAATGGCGCTTCTACGATGGTGATCATGTTAATACGAACGTTTGTGGTATTAACGTCCCTTAAATGACATACCGTGTCAGGTTTCGTGTTTTCAAACTACATGTACTATTTCGATTAACGACACGACTTTACTAACGAGAGAGACATATAAGTCTGAACCAGGTTAACGTGATGACAGACCCTTAGGGTTAAGTGACAGTTCCACTAATTTGGTACCGTTGTCAGAGTCCCCAATACTACTCAATATGCTCTAACACCCGTATAGGGATTCCTAACAATTGTGGCAAAGCTTTTAAACCGATGCGCAAAGCGCAATCAGCTTTGTTAATGAAAAAACATGCCCATCCATCGATGCGCAGATACAACATTGGTTGTGTTCGGACGTTAATTTCATTTTTACAAGACAATAAACATTTTAAGTCATTGTTAACTTGCTCTGAAGTGCTTTATGCTTGGTGGCATGTTATTGACAATAACAGTTGACGTTTCTAGGTGTGTTGAGTTTATTGCAGACTGGTAGTTTAATAGCTTCAGTCGGCTGCTTATTACACATCGAAAGATTTACATACCGTTTGAGAGTATTGTCTGTTTTTTCATTTCAGAACAATGTCTTAATCGAGGTAATCCGGAACATTCCATCTGGTGGCGAACAAGCAGACAAACTGACTGTGCTCGTGAGTTCTAAAATTGAACAAGGATTATGAGCATATGGAACAAGTTTTTATGGATAACAACTTCTTTATTTCGTGAGTGCGACGTTTCGATACAGATTCTTGTACCGTTGTCAAGCAAGAGTGATACATGAAGTGGAGGAGCTGCATATATATACTGTATATAACAATGAAACAACATACATTGTAATTGACAAAGGAAACAACATAATTGCCATAATTGGTTAAGCAGTAAGCTGATGAAGCCAGTGAGTACACAAAGGATAGTGAATGGAAGCCAGAGATGTATAAACACAGGAGTGGTTACAATGAAGGAGATGTTTATACAATAGGTGCGATGTTTATACAATAGATTGGGTTTGGTGGAGGAGTGGATCATAAGCTGATGGAATGAAGTATCCTTGGTCATGGCTGATGGTGGGCTTATGGCGTTTGATGTGAATGGCTTCGGTGAGCTTGCGTTTAGTGAAGTCCGTTTGGTTGTTGGCGTGAATGGTGAAGTCTGACCACTCTATTTGATGCTTGGGGTTTGCTTTGATGTGGTCAGAGATAGCTGATTTGGTGTCGGAATTAGCAACGTTTCACCTATGTAGCTTTGTCCACAATCACAGTTTATTTTATAAATAACACATTTCGGGTTGTTGTTGTTGACGGTGGGTTGTTTTCTTCCGTTGGCATGGAGGAGGTTGTTGAGGCTGGAGGACGCTGAGAAGGTTGTGTCTATGCCTGCTTGTTGTTTCAGGAGTCGGCTGATTTGATGTGATGGTTTACCTATGTAGGGAATGGATATCTTGATGGGGGCTGATTCTTGTTTAGATCTTCTGACAGGAGGTGAAAGCGTTGCTTCGATGGTTCTGTTGACTATTTCAGGTGGGTAGTGGTTGCGTTCTACAAAGACTTTCCTTAGGTGTTCAATTTCTTCTTGTAGGTTTGTTGAGCAGATGTTTCTGGCTCTTCTGGTCAATGTAGAGATGACGCCGGTCTTGACTTTAGGGGGGTGGTTGGAGTTGTAGTGGATGTATTGATCCGTATGGGTAGGTTTTCTGTACACGGAGGTCTGGAGTTGGTTGCAGGAGGTGTCCTTGTGCGGGTGCGGGATACAAGAGGTGTACAAGCGGTACAAGAGTGGACAACGGTACAAGAATCTGTATCGAAACGTCGCACTCACGAAATAAAGAAGTTGTTATCCATAAAAACTTGTTCCATATTGTACGTCTCAACTTCTAAAAATGCCACTCAAACAAGATTATGAGCATACATGAACACAGAGACTATTTTGTGAAGTTACATCCTTTTTTTTCCTGTTTTATATTTTATCATGTCAGTGACGTGCTCATGGAAGAACCAATGGTGTTGGCCTGGTGACTGCCCTGACAACAGATTGAGGACGTCCTGTACATGTCGGAAGGGCTTCGTTAAGAGAGATGGAGGTTCCAGCTACACAAAATGTGACCGTGAGTGGAAAAGTGTTCGACTAAAATTCTATACTATAGCGGTAAGCTAATATTGTGTATGTCATGGCGGGATACAGGGTAGCCATTAATTTACCATTGTACCATCAACGATATATATATGTATATATATGTGTGTGTGTGTGTATATATATATATATATATATTAAACATTATTACATATTACGATATGTTTATGTTTATGATCATGATTCTTCCATTCACAGTCACTGACAAACCTGAACTTCTAACTTGCAACATTGGGATGACCGATGCAGACAACAGTATAAGGAATTCCACACACGGGTCCTCAACAGACTGTGTACATGAAGCAGATACCTACGTCAACTTGAAACCAAAATCTGTTTCCTATTTGTTCTCCTCAAGGTTCGACAACATGAACATAAAAAATTCCCCAAACTACGTCTACGAACAAGGCTATGGAATTGTGACTTCATCGGCAAAATTGAAGAAGATTCTCATCAATGGTACAGTGATTGCAATGGCCTACATTCCATTTACAATATTCAAGTGAGTGAGTGAGTTACTATTTAGCGTCACATCGGCAATATTTCAACCATATCGTGACGAGAACAATTGAATTTATATCATTATTAAAATCAATAAATTTCGAACGTAAAGACCTGTCATCGAAGGACAGAAAAATACTACAGTATCACAGATATAAATTTATAACTAGTACTCTGTCATAAAATGAAATCACTATAGACAGTACAAATTAAACGGGCTATAGATCACCAGCAACTGAAGGAAGATCACCATACTAGGGACAGTGCTTTTGCTACCTGCATGGATTATAGCTGGATTTACACCATCCCCTCAGCAGCTGGTGACTGTAGGAAAATTTAAAATAACAAAAATACTACGTTTAAAAAATTTGTAAGTTTATAAATTTACTTTGAAAGTGGGACTTACGTACCTTCTCAGGAGGTCAATACTTTTACGATACTTAACCCCCTTTGAGGGTACAGCCACTAACAATCGCAGTTACTAATTTATACCACCATGTTCAAAATACCATTTATCTATTTACAAAACATATTATTCAAAATTTATCTAAAAATACAATATTCGAGACAATGGTCTGGAGTGAGTGAGCTAAAACTAAGCGTTATATCGGCGTTATTATTTCAACCATATTGCGGCGAGACCAAGTTTATACTTGTGTTTTGTACTTATTTTGTATCAAACCAAAATCAGTGAATATGAGATCCACAGAAATGGACACCAGCTGTTATAGAATACACAAATGATCTGACATTTTCATGTTGGCAATAACAGTTTGCAACTAAACTTCTTTGTGCATTTAATTATTTACAATTAATAATGACCAGTTGTGATCTTGGATTGACGTGAGTTGAAGAAGAATAGTATGCTCTTTACATTTTACAGGAGCCGAGACTACTCTGTCAACAATACCATTACACGGGACCAGTGACTGTTCGCAAACTCTGAGTGATACTTCACCGTCTAGCTATCTATCATGTTCAGGGACTCTTCCGATTTCAACAGATATGCATGATGGGGAGAGGTAATGTATACATTGCCTTAAATACTAATGCCAAAGGTTAAAGTAACACTGTTAACTCAGGAAGAAATCTTTTAAAAGAGATTTCGTTCACAGAGTACATGACGCATCAATGACAAATGTGGTGTTGCCTATTTAGTCGTGTACCGTATGTTGCCATGTTTTTTTGTGTTTTTTTAAGTGAACACTTTCGGGTGGCACCTGTCCCCGTTTCACGTACACGTTCTATCATCGCTATAGGGATTGATAACATGTACAAGGTCTGAGCCGATTGTACGATTCCAATCATATCATTAGCATGTCTATATTAACCACTATCAGATAGGCATTCGTAAAAAACGTGAACATATTTTGACCCAGGGCACCGCACTGATCACAAACACACGTAAAGCCAAGTCAACTGTTCATCTGAAAAGCGCAGGGGAATATAGACCATTGCAACACAAATTTATATTTGCCCCAAATTACACAGTCTTGTTACATAGTCAGAATCGCACAAAGGACAATGAAAGGACAATGACAATGGAATATATTTTTTAATCTCCAGAAAGAAAGACACCTTGCTCTGAATATATCTGTCTACTTTACTCTTCATTTGCAGGTCTGTGACTACAAAGATAACCTACTTTAACTTAATTCAGTTTATAACTGTTAAACTAAGACTTTATGTACGAGAATGTTAAAAAAGCTATTTTATCTATCCAGACAGTGCATCTATTTTTCCGCTACTGGAGGAGGATTTTTCAAGTATCAAGACTTTGACAACCATCATTTAGGAACCCAGATTTACAGTCATCAGACTTCTACCAAACAGCTTTGTTTCCGGTATGATATTGGTCAACCAGAACACTGCTCCAAACTCAACACGGGACACTGCGTGTCACAACCACTGGAACTATCAACCCGCATTACACGAACTGGTATGTAAGCAATATGTGTGTACGTATATACACATGAAAAAAAAACCAAACCTGAATTTAACTTTCTAACTGGATACATTGACCCTTAATGAACACCTAGGTGATTCAATACCGCAGGCCGGTAAACCAGCCAAGACGTCATGAGTCTCCAGACACCGAAGGCTAAAGTCAAATCAAAATGATACATATTTGTAGGAACCTACCTGTCATATGACTCAGTTATCAAATATATCACTTTACACAACATCAGAAAACACATATTCATCTTCAATTCACCAAATTATATCAACAAATCCAAAATTATTAACGTTTTCCCGGGATGTTATTGAAGAAACAATTCTCATACATATACTTGGGCAACGTGGCCACATCGGAATTGTCAAAGAGCAAAATAAAGATGTTTCAAATATTTGTTTGATATAAGTTAAATTACGGAATATATGATTTCAATAAAATTACTTTTAACTGTTGTCAAACCAAGTCACTATTTGTATCTTTCCATCACCACCATAGTCGTCAGATCGTTACCTTCAAGCTGTGAGGTGGGATCACCTTCAAAGGATTCTGTGCTGACAACAGTTGTATCGTCAGGCTAGGTTGGAAGTCAGGCTCGAGATGGACCCACACTCATTTTGATCCGACGCTGTTGGTTCTGTATCTGGTTCTAGTTCTAATGGCATGTCCGGTCCCGGAGTTGGAGGTGGTCTCATAGGTTCTCCGTCATCCTCAGCAGATAAAGGTCCTATGGGTTTGGGTGGGATGCAAGGTCCTTGCCCTTCCATCTCAGTTTTCTTTCTTCACTACAAACACTTGTATACCTAGGTTAAGCTGAGAAAGCACTCCATACGGATCCTCTTCACACTTGTCAAATAGCTTGTGCTCTCCATCAAAAGCAAGAATCTTCCCCTCAAAATCGCCAAGACTGGATTGTTGCACCTTTGGCTCTAATGTCATAACATGCCTTCTGTTTCTTCTGGGCTTCCCTACATGCAGATACAGCAATCTTGAAGCTTTGCTCCAACCCTGTCTTCAGGATTTCCTTATAGGACATCAGACCTTGCTTGTCCTTGTTTATCTCAATCCCAGTGTCAAGGTCTATGTGTAGTCTCGCGTCTATACCTAACATCAGGTAAAATGAGGAATAGCAGTTGAGTCATGGCTGTTTGCATTGGAAGCATAAACAGGTGCACCTTCAAACCCTTTCCAGTTCCACTTCTGGCTTGGCTTCAGTGTACCAAGCATGCTCAGTATAACCCTGTTGACGGTCTCTGTTATCCCATTACACATTGGATGGTATGGTGTAGTTCTTGACCGTGCTATGCCTAAGATGTCACAGAGTTCAGACTCGACTCATGAAGTGAGCTCCTTGGTCACTGTGAAATTGCAAGGGCCTTCCATTGCAAAAGACAAAAATCTTGTAGAATGCTTCTGCAGTGGTCCTGGCTGTAGTGTCTACAAGAATGTTTCGCACTACTAGAGCATATCTCATGAAATGATCGGTGATCACAAGTATGCGTTGGATATCAAAATCTTAAGCAGAGATAACTGAAAGCCATTGGTGACCTGTAGCATCCAATTTGGCATTGGTGAGGACGTAGGTTAGAGCTTTGTTATCAGTCAATACTGTAAACTAGAGATACTAGTAGTTGTGGAACTTCTCACCGAATGCCTCCTTCTATGAATAGTTGCTTTCCGACTTGCTTATTCCCCTGCTCATGTAAGTGGCGACCCTCTTTGCTCCATCCTGTTCTTGGTACAACACTCCACCAAGTCAACACGTCCCCCGGCATCTGTATGCAGTTCAGACTTTTTGCTGTAGTCCAGGTATGCGAGGAAATGTGATGAAGCTAGCAATGGTTTGAGCCTGTTATTGTTCTTGTTCCCATTTCCATGGTTGATCAGTGCGGATAATGGCTTGGCAATCTTGGCAAAATTCTTCAAGAGATTCTGATATTATTCTGAAAATCCAAGAATTTGGTGAACCTTTAAACCATTGGTAGGTCTTGAGCAATTCCGAGTCTTCTCCACTTTCTTAGGATCAGCTGATATTCATTCTTCAGAGACAACATGGCTAATGAAATTGATTTTCTTTTTGAAGAACTAGCATTGCTCTGGTGAAGATTTCAGTCCTGTTTCTCTGACTCGCTTAAGTATTTGGCTCAATGGGTCTAGATGTTTGTCGATTGTTGAGAGGATGATGATGTCATGCAAGTATATGAGACATATCTTTAGATGCAGGCCTTCAAAACACTTATATACACCTGAGAAGGCGTCAAACATCCTAGGGATAGCGTGGCTGTCATAAATGGTCCTCCAAATTGCGCAGATCGATGTTCATGCTGTTGATCACTGGATTGTCTGGTCCAGACTCGATTATTTACAGACCGCCACCATATAGCTGTAATATTGCTGAGTGTGGCGTAAAACTAAACTCACTCACTCACTCATTAATGGTCCATTGGTTCAGTTGGCGAAAGTCCACTCAAAGTCTAAGTTTTCCGCACTTTTTCCCCACAAGGACCGCATAGGAAGACCATGGAGAATGAGAATGCCTAATGATACCGCAGAGAAGAAGATGCTTGAGATGATCCTTAACTTCCTCTTACATGACTGGTGGTATGTTTGCAGGTTGTAGAAATCTGGTTCAGATAGATAGAGAGAATGTTAGTTCCTAAAGTGACAAACATTTTTTTGTATGAACTGTCAGATACAAGTAACATGTAGTGTAACTTACTAAATGCACTTCAAGTCCCTTCTATCGACAACAATTAGACCAAGATAGTCTCCAGTAAAGCCTTGCATATGACTCCATTGATTGTTGCAGTATTTTCTGATAAGTATTCCACTTACTCGGCTGCTATATGCTGATTGCTGACACTTCCTATGCCAATGGTCTTCCCCACCCCATCGGACAGAATATAGAGTCTGCATCGATGACAGCTCTCCATCAGCCCTGAATATGTCTAGCCTGTCCATATATATATAACATCTTGGGACGTCGTTAATGGTCTCGAGTCCTTGGAATGAAGCTGGTTTCACTCGGTCAGCCGTCCTTGGAGGTCATGTTCATTACCTTAAGGGCATCTCGCTTTTGCTGACCTTGTCCTTGACCTTCACGTGAACATGGCTGATTCTGTTTCTTGGTTGTATCCTTGCCTACTTGTGCCTTGAGGGTTGCTATTTCTGCAGACACCGCTGTTAACAGACCTTTTATCTCCTTCAGCTCAGAGTTATCTGTATTAACAGTGGTAGTATTGGTGGCATACGTTCATTTCCTCTTCTGCGGATCATCTTCAACTTGACAGAGGTACATGAGGAAGCGCTCATAAGACACTGATCTTTCAGATCAGCTCGAAGACCCAAAGGTGTCCCGAAGATTCTGTTCTGTGTTGCTAAGTTGGACATTACCAAGGATAACTCCGGGGCTGAGAATATCCTCCAGGACCACTCAGCTCACTCTCGTCTCCTTACCTGGCTGTGTAGAACTGTGCCATGTTGTAATACTCTGTATGTACATTACCAAATGGACAGTCAAGCTTGCTGATAAGGGCATCTAGTGGAGCATCCTTGTCAACACTGGAGGCGAAGTATTTCTGCGGTCCTAAACAAGACCTCAGCCATCAGTCATGAACAAAAGAAATTGACTTTCGTCCGACCAGTGCACTATTACTGATAACCAACACCAAGCTTGTTGTACTAGAAATAACAACGGACGTCTGATATGTCTGACCGTTTTGTTGGAAAACGTTTACTTACAAAGTGGATACCCTTCGAAAAGTTAAAATAATAATTGGAACAAATATAATTATGATATGAATATAACTGCCTATATAGGAGTAGAAAATCATAGGTGTTGCAATATCTTATTCCATGTGTATTGTTCCCATTAAACGTGATCTTCGTAATTTGCATAACATCTGAAGATGTGTAAGAAAGGTACACAAAAGGAATCATACGGAAGAATGAAATGTCTTAGCACAATAGAACGAGATTCAAATATTGCAGGTGAAGTCCACGTTAAAACCTCTGGATGGACAGACCCTGTTCCAACGGGAGGAAAGGCTGATACAGCATCGGGGTTGAAGTACACTAAAATACAAGTGCTGGAGACTGAACATAAAGGAAATATGATCGACGTGATATACCCGCAACTGAAAGGTTTTGACGCCCAATACGATAACAAGTACGATAACATTACTCTTCATCTCCCGAACAAATATGGTCTTTATGCTGTCATCCTGGAGGTACACGACACTGCTGGAAACATCCAATATGTACGTCGATTGGTGCTGAATGATAATTCCTCCAAACTGATGACAGATTCCACGAAACCACCTCAGGTTGTTTCAGCTACACAGAAATCAGGTTTCAAATGGCAGACAAACCTGGGACCTGTGTGCATAGACTGGAAGGGGTGTTACTACAATGATGAAATGAGGGACAATAACCCTTTGCAGCCAGTCCTTCGCCAGATAGAAGTGGCCGCTGGCTATGACCAAACTGCTGGAGTCCTCCCTACATCTGGAACTCCAAATGTTGATGGCATCATTGAGGCAAAGTATTCTGTATCTGTAGATCATGCTGTGAAATCGGATTGGGCATTGGTTCCTCACTTTACAAACCAGTCACTGTGCATCACCGAAACACTGCATGATGGTCAAACAGTTGACATATCATTGCGAATGATGGACATTGTCAAGAACTCTCTTGAGGAATCTGTAAGAGTTTACATTGACTCGACAGTTCCTGATATATCAAACATGTGGCTCGTGAAGGATGACGGGAACAAGCAGGTGTATGTCCACGACAGTCTCGATCTGTCAACCATGATGCTGCAGTTTGATGTCATCGACCCTCACAGTGGCGTCAAAACTATTGAGTGGTATCTTGGCACAGCAGACTCTTCAGAAGATCTTGGACACGGTGTACTGCCATCAGGGAATCTGAATGGAACGGTAAGATCAACATCACAAATCACTTCATAATGCTATATTACATAAAGTGTCGTGGAATGTGGTAACTGAATATCAATCCCAGATTGAAGCGATGAATACACGTTTCACTACAGAATGCAAAATCATCGACTGAAAGTCAGAATGTCCAGGTGACATAATAATGAATGTCTGGTTATATAGGGAGACAAATGATACTTTGTGACTTTGTAGTGAAGAATTATTCACAGGGTTTCCATTGTGGCAGGTGCGTTTTTCGACCTTTTTTTCTGTTAATAACTGCATCTTATGGAGCAAAACGGAGAATCTTTATTTGTTTAGATAAAGTCGTGTTCAAATGATAAAATGTATTGGATTTATCCTTAGTATCATCCACTGCTTTATGTTTGCAGGCGTGCCCATCTAATTCTAACTGCTACTGTTCTTCCGTTGGAGAGTGCCAGTTTCATAACTACACTGTTCCGCTGAACAGCCTGGTGGCCAACAAGACAAACGATGCTCAACACAACCAGGCCTTCTACTTCACAGTTGTGGCAACAAACGGAGCAGATCTGAAGAACATTGACCATCTCGACATCCTTGTGGATAACTCCCCTCCTGAAGCAGGGACCGTTAAAGAAGGCACAGTGGACGGACCTGATGTAGACTACACAAGTGAGGATACTGTACTAGTCAACTGGGCAGGGTTTATTGACCATGAGAGTGGCATCAATCATTACCTGGTCAGTCTGGCCCCAAAGTGTCTGACACTGGATGAAATGAAGAACAACACAGACACGCTTGAAGTAACAGAAGGCATCCATACTGCACAATTCAAAATCGGGAAAGAGATGAACAAATATTATGCCACAGTTGTAGCCTTCAATGCTGCTCTGAGTCCTTCAACGCCTTCATGTTCTGATGGGATAATCAGGGATATCTCACCTCCGTCAGTGTACAATGTTACACTGAGCTCTGCTCAAACATCACAAGAACATGTTGTGTGCCTTGATGAAAATATCTGGCTTGTCACAAGAAATCTTACACTGAGACAACTTGAAGAGACCAGTGAATGTAGACAGAGATGCAAATCAAGATCCTCATCAGCTATGGCTCAAGTGTTGCCAAAGAGTTTAATCATCTTGAATGATACGGAAATTGACGATAACGTCTGCAGAACTCTTCCCTTTTTGAACGATTTCCTAATTTTTCTTCCTTCTGACAAGATAGACCTCCACTGGAACTGCGCAGAGAATGAAAGCCAAATACGAGATTTCTCAGTCGGATTTGGATCTGACAAAACAACAGTTCATGACCCAGATATTCTGGACTATGCATCGAGCAAAGGACATCTTTCCTTTAAGCTGAACCATGTTGGCTTTGCTGGGAAGAACATATTCTACATCTTTCTAAAGGCAGTCAACAAGGCTGGATTGTCATCAGTTACAGTATTTGGGCCAGTGATGATTGACAATACACCCCCTGTAATCACTAAGAAAGTATCACCTACACTAAGTGGAAACTTCGTCATGATCAACTGGGACAATGATACATTCTCTGACCAGGAGCAACAGGACTCAACCTTTACAGTTCTCTACAGAATCAGTAAGTGGTTAATTCAATATTGTTTGAATCAGGTTGGTTTGCCACTCTTTCATTAAATCTTTCTTCAAATAGTTATCATACTCATCACATTTGTAAAGTTTAAGGTTCAAAGCATTATAGGAATTGCTTTTATCAATTAGTTTAAGCTATAACGAGAACACATTTCATTTCAGTGCATGATGGACATCATGTGACACCTATACTCCAAACGCCAAAGCACATCACAAAAGCCTGTCAGATCCAGGGCCACGCTGGTTGTATCAGATATCCACTCAAAAGACTGCAAGAGATGGACTCGGAGCTCAACAAACCATTTCTCTTTGAACTGTATGTGTACAATTCTGCAGGTCATTTCGCTCTCGTTACCACGGAAGGGATTACAGTACCATCTAAATTCCCACCAGGACATGGCCTAGTCTATGACATTGACCCAATGGATGTTGATGGGAAGGATGATGTAGACTTTCACTCCACACTAAAGTCTTGCGTCAAGTGGAATGGCTTCCTTCATCACAGAGATGTCCAGTTTGAAGTGGCCCTAGGGTCTGCTGTAAATGGAAGTGACATTAGTCCGTTCAGATCTGTAAATGGCACAAGTGCATGTGTAACTTCATCAAGCATCAAGCCACGTGTCAAGTATTATGCTACAGTAAGGGCAACATGTTCAGGTGGATCATCATATGCTTCATCAGATGGTTTCATCATTATTGATCAACCAAATGATGACCAGTTTGTCCTTGAAGTCTACGATGGCGTTGCATGTGGTGATCACAGTTCTGGCACATCTCGATTGATCCCAGAAACTGATACAACTTCAGACAGCAACATCACAAGGTCGTACAAACCTTCTGCATCTCTCCATATTGGTCAGAGGTACATTCTTGAGTATCAACATCCCCTTAAGGGCAACATTTCATCTGACGAAGTCCTCTTAATGGCACACATACATGCAGATGAAAAGACACAGGGCATTGTCACATATCAATTTGTACCTTTGACACATTTTCCTCGGTTTTACATCAACTCTGCAGATGACATAGCAAACTCAACTATTCGCATGTGCACTGTAGACATTGATTACACGTTGTCAAAGAACAAAGTGTCATCTTATTGGAAGTATGCTGGTCCATGGAAAGTGCTTACAACTCATTTTGAAGCTGCCCTCAAAGAAAGAATGCACTGCACAAACAGCACACAATGTTATAAAACCCTGTCAACTATGTTCGTAAATAGGGACACCGACTATGCAGACTTCACCAATGGAGTCCTCGAACAAAACAAGGTGTACCAAGTGTTTGTGAGGCCCTGTTTTGACACTGTGTGTTTACCGTGGAAAATTTCAGATGGAGTGAAGGTCGTCCCTGGACAGCCGAGAGTAACAACAACATCATCCTTTACCAATAGATCCGCCCCATCTTGTCATTCGGTGACGCTTCATGTTGATAGTGTAAAATGTGAAGAGGAACCACAAGATTCAGAATCAATTATCTATCAATGGACTGCTACAGACAAACATAACAACCCATTAACCTCCTGGAAAACTGACCTGTCCCTCACCAAAGGCCAGGTAATGCAGATCTTTGTGTTCTATATCTGATGCAGGGAAATGAAGCATATACTCTTTAAAAAAATCATTTTTAATTTACTATTGAAAAATTGGGACATCTATCGGAGTCAATGTTGATATGATAATGAATGTTTTGAGAGTGCATCACCACTTGCACTTCCTTAGGACCATAGTTGTTTGTACAGTAATCGCTCTTCAAAGATGATTGGTATATGACGTGAAATTTTCTTGTGTACGATTTTCATTTTCAAACAAAAAAAAACGGTTAAAAACAAACACTATCAACAGTGTGATGAAAGATGATTGTCAAAGTTAATGGTGTACAGTCATTAGGATATCTTTTTATTCTGTTTGTATTTTTTCCAGTCTGATGTCTGTCTGGATGACCATGTTCAGTCTCACAGTACCATCAACATCTGTGTCCGAGTTATATGCCCATCCGGGCTGTCGGATACGTCCTGCCAAACTCTGAATCACGCAAGAAAACAGGAGAACAGACTCGTTGAAGTTGACCAGAAGGATATCCAGGAGATAGAAGAAATGATAGACAGGCTGAAAACTGGGAATCTTCCTTCATTTGACGTTGATGTTGCTGAATCTAGCGTCCAACTGGCCGGCGTCATGGAGGGATTAGAAGGAAGGAAGTCCACTTGGTACCTGATGACTGAACCTCATGTACCAAATGACTGTGAAGCTGATGACAAATGTGTCACAAGTGTAGATGCTCAAGGATCTATTGTTCATTTCCACAGTCTGCAGTTAATGGACCATGTGAAATATTACATATGTATGCAAAGCACCCCTGTCGGACAAAATAGCTCAAGAATGTCAGAATGCGGGGACGGTGTTATCATAGATAACCTTCCACCTACAAAAGGAGAAGTGCTTGTTGTCAACCAACAAAATGGCTTCCTAACAGAAGAGGATGTTTTGGTGATAGCTTGGTCGGGTTTTAGTGACCATGAGTCTTTTTTCAAGGATACTGATTCAGGCATAACGCATTTTTCATATGCCGTAGGTGAGTAGTATGGATGTAGAGTTCGTCATACCTTGAATACCCATGAAGATTTGTTTTAGAATTACTTTAGACTTCAGCAAACCCATGCTTGTCGGAAGAGGCAACATACAAGATCTGGTGGCATATGTCATCGTTTTCTAATTGTGTAAATCGATCCACATGATGGATTGTCGGGTCCAAATACATAGCTGAGATATTGCAGAGTGCAACAATAAACAACGAAGAAACAATCATTATACCTTCACCCCTCTGCTTCAGAAACAAATAATTATTTACATATTTCGCATGGTACATTTACACATTGATGGAAATTATGTCTTGTGTCAACAGCAATCTAAACAAATTCCGCCAGAGAGGCTAAATATGCTCACCTTTTATGGAGGCCTGATAACATAACTATGTAATAGCGATTTATAAACATATGCATATAACATTGTTGGAATATCTAATGATGATGACAAATTAATGGTTTTCGTGACTGTTATTTAAAGGTACCTATCCAGGAGGACAGGATGTTCAACCCTTCATATCTGCCGGCCTCGTACACAATGCACACATTTCAAACATCACCTTGGAGAACGGTAAAACCTACTATACAACAGTGAAAGGTATGTTGAGACTATGTACCCGACATGAACAGTCCATAAAGTTCGAAAATAATTTTTAATCACACATCTTTCAACCTACATTTTTGACAACATATCATTTCTGTTGTTCTGTTGCTATTTCAGCATATGACCGACTTGGACACTCCACATCGGCAACTTCAGACGCTGTTCTGGTTGATGTTACACCTCCAAAATCAGGAGACATCTTCATCGGCAATACACTCGACAGCCACACCGTGGTGTCAGTGGACAGGCTGAACGTTCATTGGACGGGATTCGAAGACCACGAGTCTGGCATCCTTTCAACATACCTGGCCATAGGGACGACCAACACTGGAACAGTGTCACCCGTCACGGAATATACGGGAACTTTTGCAGACATCCATATGAATGGATTTGTAGATGGTCATGAGTATTTTGCCAAAATTATGGTACTTTTGTCTTACCATATTTGTTGTATTAAGTAATATTACGTTTACAACTGTAAAGATCAATGTAATGAAACACAAACAACACTGAGCATTAATAATATACTAGTGGAACAGAAATTGGATTTATAGATAAATTATTTTGCTGGAATAATTGTATGGCAATACACTTTTTTTTCACGTACTAATACTTCGCCTAAAAGAATGTATTATAGTTATAATAGCTACAGTGCTGTCAAATATATTTGAACATCTAAATATGAGTGCTTTATAAAGGTAACAAATCAAGCTGGACTGACTTCTATGGCAGTGTCAAACAGTTTCATTGTTGACACGTCGCCGCCTACAAATGGTGTTGTTACTGATGGTGGAAAAACAAGCCAGGTAGGTTCTGTGTCCTACGCTGATATCATGATAACAATGCTCAACCTGTAACTTGAAAGAGTCCGTGAGTAAGCATTAATTAATGCTGCTTTAGCAATATTCAGGCAACTCCACTGTCCCGTAAGTTGAAAAAACCGATGCTGAGACATGAATACTTCATATCAATAACGAAAATCAAGTACACCTGTATGCAATAAAAACTGTGTATGTCTCATACTGCCCGAAAGACTATTGAGGCAATTCTAAAAAGTACCGTATCAAAAAGATTATACTTTTAAGTGGCTTTCAATTACTTATACGTTGAAATTGATGTATGTAAACACTGAAATATATTGTCATTTCACACCACTTCAGGTGGAGGCAGACTACCAGAGTTCCACTGACAGGTACACTTGTTACTGGTCTGGATTTGATGATCCACACTCTGGGCTGTCCTCCTTTCAAGTTAGTCTCGGGACGGAGCCCTATCTGGATGATGTTGAGGCAGAAACTCATGTTGGTCTTGGAACGGGTACATATATCCAACATTCATACTATACTTGTATGTAGACACTATAAAACACTAGCCTTTTCGCCTTTTCGAAGTCCATTTCCAGTTGAGGGAGTTAGGCGGCTGACTTTGTGTGCTGGCGATTAGGTGCCTGATTCTGAGGGTATGGGTTCGAATCCCGGAAGGGACTCAACCCAAAAAGTACTAGAATCTGTTCTTTACTCTGAAAGTGTATGAAAGAGTACTGTTGTATGATATGATATGGTCTTGTCTTTTGTAGAAATGTCATGGACTGGAGACTTGCCGCTTGGAGTAAAGCTCTACTGCACTGTTAAGGCTTGCAACCATGCAGGTCTCTGTTCTAAGTCTGCATCCGACGGGATAACCCTAGACAACTCTCCTCCAGTTCCTGGCGTGGTATTTGTGGGACATGATGGACAACACCATAAATATCATGGACATGCGTAATTATGCTCACAAGACATCTCTAGTTATGAAAGATGTATTCACCAAAAGCTAGAGTTCACCTTAACCCTTAACGGCTTGGATGAATGATAAATTATTTGTTTTGCTATTGACTCCTTCTCACCTTCTCGTTTCAGTACAACACTTCCTGCTCAGTGGCTTGGTTTTGAAGATCCAGAGACGGGGATCAACTACTTCGACTGGTGTGTTGGAACAACGGCTGGGAAATGTGATGTCCTTCCAAGTACCAGCAACCTTCTTTCTGACTCAGTTCTTAAAACTGGTCTCAAGTTGTCATCTGGTCATCCCCTTTATGTTACGGTCAATGCTACAAACCCAGCAGGTCTAGTTGCCACATCCACTTCAGACAGCTTCATCGTGGATGCAACGCCACCAGTAGCAACAGTGAAACCATCGTTCACATCACCCTACTCTAGAAACATGTCTGCTGTGAATGTACAGTGGGAGAACTCCATGCTTCATCTTCACTGGAAATTCACAGATGCTGATAGTCCCGTTGAAAGACACCTGGTGTCACTGTCTACTCATCACGATGGATCATCTGCTGTTGAAAGCATTCACCTGGGCGCTCAGGATTCCACCATCATCCTCTTTGAAGCAGGGAATCTGATGAGAAGTGGCGATGTCTACACTGCCTCTGTCACTGCCTGTAATGCTGCAGGTCTCTGTTCCACCGCCACGAGTAACCCAATCCGTATAGATTCTACGCCCCCACAAATGGGAGGATTCAAATCCCCTATAGCATGGGAAAACGTCATCGACAAAGGTGCAACCAAGGCACGATTAAACCTGAAATGGCTAGGCTTTGTGGACACTGAGTCTGGGATCCAGACCTATCATATCTCTGTCAGTCGAACATTTGATGGCAACGAGTTATCAGGAGGAATCGTGGAAATGAACCATGACAATCATTCCACAGAACAATCAGCTTCCCTTGCTCTCAATGATCAGATCAGAACTGGAGAACTTATCATCCTGACAATCTCAGCGACAAATACTGCGGGCCTATCAAGTGGGATTGGAAAGGTGACTGTGGCAGTTGTTGCCACTGATGCTAAACATACGAAAGGGATGCTGGAACTCCAACGTCACTCATGCTCAGTCCATTACTGCGAAGGCGACTGCACATGTGCTGTTTTGGGACAGCACTGTATGCTTGCTTCATCACAACCGAACTGCACTGATACAACCAGTAAAAGGAAGAGTACTGATATAGTCGTACATCCTGGACTAGAGTCTGATGCCACAGTTACTAGCTCCTCATCATGTCTAACTGCTCACTGGGAGGCCTCATCACCGCAGGTATTAAATACAATCACACGGTTTCAGTGGAGCATCGGAGAAAGGGGAAAACCACCAGGAACTGGAATATTTGATCTCAAAACGGAACCTGTATGGCAGGACATAGGACGACTAACCAGGTTTACATACTGCCTTCCTCTAGGACGATCACTTCAGCATGGAACAGAATACATCATCCACGTGAAAGCCTGGTTTGGCTTCAGTGATTATGCTGTGTTCCATTCTCATAGTGTCCTCATTGACAACACACCACCTAAAATTCAGAGGGCCAAGTCGCTGCTGGATTCAGATGGGTCTTGTAATAAGGATGAAGAATTCTTCAGTCATGGACAAACAATAAGAGCATGTTGGGAGGGTGTATTCAATGACGAAGATACATCAATAACAAGCTATGAAGTTTGGGTTGGAACGTCGCCTGAAGGTATGATCAAAATATACATGTAAAAGAGTAATACGTTTGACTTCTGTCGTGTTAACACCACCTTCCCTGTTATGCTGATTTATTTGAAATAAGTCGTGAAGGTCCGAGTTAGAATATTGATCTTCAATAACCCATGCTTGTCGTAAGAGGCGACAAACGGGATCGGGTGGTCAGGCTCGCTGACTTGGTTGACACATGTCATCGATGCTCAGGTTGTTGATCCCTGGATTGTCTGGTCCAGACTCGATTATTTACAGACCGCCGCCATATAGCTGGAATATTGCTGAGTGCGGCGTAAACCTACATTCACTCACTCACTATTTGAAATAAACTCCAAAACTGTGAGAACACAAACTAACGTGAATTATGTTCCTCATAATAAAGAAGTTGACATCCATAAAACTCCTGCCTAATGTGAATTACATTTAAACAAATAGAAACATGTCACCTCTTATGGGTTACACTACAACTATATCTGCTCCATAAGATTATTCCACTTATTCTTTTTCGTAACTTCAGCCGCCATCTATGAATAGACACATATGGCTAAAGCAGAACTGATTTTTTTCTAATTGTAGGAGACGACGTTATTCAGACAAAGTCCATGGGTAACCAAACATCCTTTGCGGTCCCTCTGGCACTCTTGAAAAGTGGTACGAAATACTACAGCAGCATCAGGGCAACCAACCTGGCTGGTCTGCAGACTATAGCAGTGTCAGATGGCTTTGTAGTCGATGACACACCACCTGTAGTTGGTGTAGTCTTCAACACTGACCGCCACAGGAATATTGAGTTTCAGTCATCAAACACAACACTGAAGGCTTCTTGGCATGGCTTTGAAGACTATCACTCCTATGTGCAGAGATTTGAAATCGCAGTTGTGAAGGAGGGAGAACATATCCAGGACACGATGTTCAAATATCATGGAATGGAAAATGAGATCACCATAGACAATTTGAAATTGGAGGAAAAGAAGAGGTATCGCATTGCAGTCAGAGCAGTTGATGCTGCAGGCCTTCACAGTGGCACAGCCGAGTCCCCAAGTGTACTGATTGACACATCAGCCCCTAAAGCCTTTCAGTGCAGAACTTTCCTTGATAGGAAAGTGAATTCTACTGATCTTAAGTTCCAATCTCTTCGACATGTCTCCACACAACTACATGCGTTTGAATATCTAAAAAAGGATACATTCTATCGAATGACAGTGAAAGGTGACTTGGACATCCGTGTGTCACGTGTCATTTTCACAGTCGGTAACCTTCAGGTTCCTGCAAAATTTGAAACAACATTCTCTGGAGTACAGGCCTCGCATAGCTTCCTGGCCTCGCGTTCTGGCCTCAGTAACATAAGTATATCAATCACGGGGACTAATCTTTCAGACGCCTTTGATGTAACGCTAGGGGAATGTCAAAACCTTGCAGACACCGATCCAACAAATGGCATCACAGTTTGGCAAATCCGGCCCTCTGTTGTCGCCGTTTGTGCCAGGGTAATAGATCAGGAAAGTGGCAGCAGAAGTGTGTGGCTCGGAGCGGGAACCAGCAAGGGAGGGTACCAGATCCGTGCCTTGTCCCCAACGTCTGTCAGCAACCATGAAATGATTCTGGTGGAAGAGCCACATGGTAGCCCTGTCCATGTCACAGTGATGGCGGAGAACAATGCTGGCCTCAGAACCATCTTCACATCCAAGCCAATCACCATCGATCACACTCCGCCAGACATGAGCGTCTCGTCAACTCTAGAATATGCAGCAGGTTCTGATACGGTATCTATAAGGATGACCTTGGAGGTTCAGGACGTGGAAAGTGGACTACACTCGTGCTTATGTGCATATGGTAATATGGCTTTTGTATTGTTATATAGATTTACTGAAGAGCACGATGACCTATGTTTATGCAACAGTTAGTGAGTATGGTTTTAGGCCGCTTTTTGCCATATTCCAGTAATATCACGGCGGGGCACACCAGAAATGTTTCACACATTGTGTCCATGTGGGAAATCGAACCCAGGTCTTAAGCGTGACGAGCGGACTCTTTAACCATTGAGCTACTCCACCGAGTGAGCACGCTCTTGAAGTTATCAGAAATATATTAAGGTTGATTAGACGAAGCACATCAACCACTGCATGCTTGTTCTTTATCAACATGTAGTCTTTTTTTCTCTTAAGGAACACATCCCCTGTCCTATGATGATCACAAGTGGGAGAAGTCACAAGGCTTGACACACTGCGAACTACAGAACATCCCTGCTCGTAACGACGCTGTCCTCTACGCTTGGGTCCGTTGTATCAACAACGTCAACATGGATACAATCATCAGATCAGACCCTCTGCATGTGGTATACCATCCTCCTGCACTTCCGCTGGGATCATTGAAACTTCTGGTGGACAATCAGATATCCTCGGGATCCCTCCCGTCCAACGTCCAGGGTTACACTGACCATGTTGAGTTTGCCTGGCAGGATGCGGACAGTGGTGGCACCCAGAGCTATGAATGTCGCCTTCTAGAACACGGCACACCGGTAGCAGACTGGGTGTCTATGGGACAGAAGACGTACGCAACACTGGATGGGCTGAGCCTCCAAGATGGACACATGTACGACATCCAGGTCCGAGCTGTGAACAGCAGGGCACAGTACAGCAATGTACTCAACAGTACTGTAAAAGTCGATAGCCGGTCGCCCCTGACCACAGGTGAGAATGGCAAGAATTCTGCTTATGTTAACGTTGTAGCTGAAAACATTATTGTGGCATGTAGTACAATACATAATTGTATATACATAATACTAGCTAGGACCCGCGAATGTCCGGGTCAGAATGAATCTTCAGTAACCCATGCTTGTAAGAGGCGACTAACGGGTTCGGGAGGTCTGGCTTGGTTGACACATGTTATCGGTTCCCAATTGCGCAGATCGATGCTCATGCTGTTGAACACTGGATTGTCTGGTCCAGACTCGATTATTTACAGACCGCCGCCATATAGCTGGAATATTGTTGAATGCGGCGTAAAACTAAACTCACTCTCTGGCTGAAATGTTGGTTGTTACAGAAAGGAAAAGAGGCTTATTTATAACTGAAATAACATCATTAACACTAACAAAAATAAAAAGATTCCGATGCTTATCTAACCCCGACAAGATGTTGTAATCATGTTTTACTGCGAAACATTGTGTATTCACAATCATTTAATTTATCATCAACTCGAAAGGAGATTTGAGTGTATGTCTACTGCGCCGTCTGTGGTTCATCTTATGTGAAGGTCAAGACATTACAACAGTGAGAGAGTATGGTTTTAAGCTGCTTTTAGGAATATTCCAGCTATATGACAATGGGGGACACCAAAACTGGGACTCACACATTGCACCCATGTGAGGTGTCGAGTCCGTGTCTTAGGCGTCACGAGCGAACGCATCAACCACTAGGCTACCCCACCGCCCAAGACGTTGTTAATACACACCGTGTTCCAAACTGAGATGTAACCCGTGCAGATCCCGGTTAGAATTGGTATTCAGCAACCCAGGCTCGCTGATATGTCATCATGTCCCATTTGCATAGATCATAGCTCATGCTGTTGATACCTTGATTGTCTGGCCAAGAACTGATTATTTACAGACCGTCAATATATAGCTGGTGTATTTCTGAGTGCATTTTAAACAACAAACGAACAACCATCAAACTGAGATGCCACTATGAATGTTGATAAACATTAACTGTTAGACTGCCACGTATCCTGAAATGTATAAACCGACAAATAAAGTTTTGTCTGATCGACAAATTTCCAGAGTTTCCCACCTTTCAATTCTTAAAATTCGTCAAAATATTGTAATCTTTCATTTTCAGGAGCTGAGCCAAACATAACACTGGTGAACGGACACCTCGCGGTGGACTGGGCAGGTGTGTTTGACGATTTCAACATGAAGGCTGAATACGAAGTGTCTGTTGGGACAAGAAACGGTTCTGCGGACATTATTAGACAAATGTCTACCACAAATACGTATCTGACAGCAACAACCTACACAAAAGCAACTGGAATCTTCCTCACCATCAAAGCAAATATGGAAACTGGGAAATTCGGCATTTATTCCACCTTCTCTCCTTGAATTAGCTTCCTTACATACCTGACTGAAGAAATGTTTGAAAGACCTGACATGCTGACGCGTAATTGCTTCGTGTATTGTTAATCAATGTGCATATGTTAATATTCAAGAACATTTGTCATAAACTGTATTAATGTTAATTACGGTGTAGGCTTGTAGTTGCTTTGCTCTTTATTAAATAAAATTGTTGCCATTAAACACGTGAATTGCTCACCTCACTGACAGTGAATTAGGGGCGGTGGGGTAGCGTAGTGGTTAAAGCGTTGGCTCGTCACGCCGAAGACCCGGGTTCGAATCCCAACATGGGTACAACGTGTGAAACCCATTTCTGGTGTCCCCCACCGTGATGTTGCTGGAATATTGCTAAAAACGGCGTAAAGCCAAACTCAGTCAGTCAGTCAGTCAGTCAGACAGTGATTTAACACGATCTTCTGAAGGCTATCTCGAAAGCGCAAGCCATGCTTTAAGAACGTGAAAGGTACGTGACAGAGCAACGTAGAGTGTACAGCAAAGCTTCCTGTTGTATTTCTTATGTATACTTCACAGAAAATTTGGTCATGCTGAACACCAGTTGGGGTGTATTCAGGTGTTGTGCCTTATTTCTATCCCCGAGCATCAACTTTTCTATTTGTTTGGGTTTGGTTTTGGTTATTATGGAGTGTTCTTTTTGCTGTTTGTTTTTTGGTTCTATTTTATTTTTTGTTTGTTTGTTTTTATTTGTGCGTGTGTTGTGTTGTGTTGTTTTGGTATCCTTTTTTTCTTTTGTTTTTTTTAAAGAGAAAGCTGTGTGTATGGTGTGAAATATCCCTTTCATTCGCTATTTCTTAAGTTCAAAATCGTGTTTCTGTATCGGAAACTGGGCGATGTTAAAATCGTTAGCATCAGCATCACGTCTGCAGATGAGGCTCACACTGTTCTCACCTTCAGATACACGCGTACTTAAATATGCTATTTTAGGTTACCTAGTGACTTGCGTGTGAATATATTCCTGCAGCAAAGTAAAATATAAGTTCTGCAAAAACTAAAACAGAACATACGACAGTTGCACTAGAGTTGAGCATTCTTGGGTGATTCTCACTCCCTCGGGATTCGTCTCGAACACAAGCATTCACTTCTTCTGAAATACAGTAAACTATGTTTATAACGGGCATGTTTTTAACGAACAGACAGAAGAACCACAAGAACCTTTGTCGGGTGGTGGTGGTGGTTCGGGAGGCAGCCACTTGCTATATATTTATACAAGAATGAACTATGGCTATACCTCACATGGTAAAGCAGTCAGTGTTACTCTAACATAAATCAGCCTGGTATATCTGCCTCGTCTATGCAATGTTTGAACCTAGTTATATAACACCTTCACTCAAAACGAGGACCTTTCCCCAACAACGCAACGACTTGATCAAGTGGTTGTTTACATCACCTTGATCTTGTTCAGATCTGATAGGCATGTCAGAATTGATATCTAACTATTTGTTTCACAGGATTGAACAAATGGCACCGGGTTTGAACTCTGTTATCTGTTATCTTGAAACATCAGTGAAGATTGTGACGTAGCTAAGCTATTATATGTTTGCGGATTATTACCGTAACAACTTGTAGGAATACTCAACTTGGTAAACATATTGAAAACAACATTCTGCGATCTTTCGAGAAATCGTACCAGTTTGACACAGATACTGATTAATTATAATGATAATACATTGATTCATATTCATTCCGTGTTATTAACTTGTATATATACTATTCCAAAAAAGAAATGCATTACCCAGAAAGCTGTTGCGAAAATTTTATATTTTCAAACATGTATAGCTCGTCCTTAAATAGACTTTAGTCCATGAATATTTACATCAGTTCAGAAGAAGGTAATGTCTATACAACCAAGTGTATAATTTTAGATAACGGAGACGTTGAGCACGATGGTGACCACGTAGCATGGTCCCGACGTCGGGTCGCCTGGCTCTCAGTCCAATCTCTCTCAACCTGTTCCGTACAGTTTGACCGGATATCCTCCGTAGTCCAGGCACCCTGGCTGCTGTGCTCTCACCCGTGGTAGTACGATCACGCAAATGTAGTACCCTGATGTACCGATCTTGGGCTGCAGTGATGACTCGAGGACTGCCTGTACGTGGAGGGTCATTTGTTATACCTGTTTGGTTGTAACGAGCTGCAAGCAGTGATATCGTGCTCATACTAACATTCAGACGCCTCACAACAGAAAATTGGTAATCTCCAGCGTGCATTCTTTCAATGGCGATGTTCCGCGTCGCAGCGTCAAGACGTGGCGTATTGATTTGACCTTGAAACGCCTTCAAAACGAATGCCCATTTCCGAAAGTAATCTGGATGTTTATAGCCAGACAGTGCAAGCTCTTTGCTGCGCAATTTCAACTGGAAGGTGATTTCTGTTGCGTTGTGGCGATGCCTTTTTAATTCTTGTAAGACATTTCATCAAAATCAACATTTTCAGGTAAAGTCAATTTTCACTTGTGCAATAGTGTAAAATCATGTTATCAACACTTTTGTTACATATTTTGAGGTAATTAATAGATTTTTAAATAGACAAAACGCCTATGCGTTTCTTTTTTGGGATAGAATAACTTGAAATTCGAAAACAATGTATCATTTCACGTCAGAAAGAAAAATTAGGGCTGACGGGAAGCGGGAAAACTCTAACAAAAGTAATGGGAAGACAAACCATCTCATAATGTTTTCGCGGGTGTGACCGATAAGCGTGGTGTTGGGGACAGGATAGCCTCTTTTTGTTCCTGTTATTCAGTTGATGTTTGTAGGGCTCCATGACTAGAAGGCAGGTGATCTAGCGTAATCATTCGTGTTATTATTGTTTACAGATTAAAATATATGATGCAGCAAAGAGGTTTTGGGTGATTCTGGTATAGTCAGGTCGGTTAAACTCATCAGCAGCTCAGAGCCCTTGCCCCCTTTACATACAGCCCAGCGGATGGGATTCCCCACCAGTGTACTTGGGATGCAATTGAGACATTTCAAAGATGGGGTCCGCATATTTATCATGCTTTTCCTGAATCTTGCCAATTACGCTGCTGTCAAAAGGGACAGAAAATTCAATAACATAAATATATTCATTGAGGACAAGATCAGGTTTGTAAGAAAGTAAGATTGTTTATGGATAACAACTTCTTTTATTATACCGTTGTCAAGCAAGAGTGAAGTACTACAGCACAGAACAGACTTATATACATGAACAGGGATTAAGTAATAACAACATGTAGGTATGAATCAAGGGGATTAACAACAACATCAAGGCACGGTGGTAATAATGTAGTGACAAAAGGAGGAAGCCAATGGTCCTAGAGGCAGAAACAAAATATGTATGGCTGATGAGATTAATTAACAATGATAGCTGGAGTGCTCTAATCTGTTGTTTTCATCAGTTCATTGTATGCAGAAGGGATGAGATATCCCTGGTCTATGTTGATTGAGGGCTTGTGTCTCCGGATTTGAACTGCTTCTGCAAGTTTTCTTTTGGTGAAGTCCTGGTGGTTTTTCGATAATATCTCTACATTGTCCCAAATTATGTTGTGATTGGGACAGTTGATGATGTGGTCTGATAGTGCTGATTTTCTGTCAGAGTTAGTGGTAGATGATAAGTGTTCTTTGATTCTGATATTTATGGGCCGGGAGGTTTCGCCTACATAGGCTTCGCCACAGTCACAATTGATTTTGTAGACAACACCTTTGGGTTTTCAGTGATGTAGAGCTGGTAAAGTAGGTTTCGATGCCTGATTGTCGCTTCAGGAGACGGCTGATGTGGTGAGAGGTCTTCCCGATGAAGGGGAGGGAGATACGAATAGGGACTGGTTCAGGTTTGTTGGAGGCCGGTTTTCTTGTGTGGAGTGAGGAGCTGATAATTTCATCGACTAGCTTTGACAGGTAGTCAGATGAAGGAGTTGTTGAATTGCTATTCTGTTCCACACGCTGCATATATACACGATGCTGTGTTTTTTCTCAGAAAGCTTCCCCACAAATGGCTGATTCTTGGCCGGCTTGGTGAAGGACTCCCATCGCCGTACCTTCCAGAAGCGCATCGCCGTCAACAAAATCAAAAACAACAAATTTAAATTTCAACGGCCAATAGCTCCAAAAATACTGGTCCGATGACCAAATATCTTGTGCAGATGCGTAATGGAATTACATAAAATATATTGTACAGCTATATTGTTGAGAAGGTTTTTATCCATGTTTTTCAGCAGTTTTATCAGTACTTTCCTCCAAAGCCTGCTGAGCTCCAACTATCAGCTCTTGAGCTTCCAAAATAACCATAGTTTGTTGCCAGGAGCTATTGCACAAATTGCGCATAAAAACGTGCCCAACTGTGCCTTCGAAGGGCGCCATTATTGAGCATTACTTCCGCGCCAAAGTTTCAAAGGATTTTCCCGGATTGTTTCTAAAGCAAACTTACAAGGGACAAACTGGAAAAATGTATGCGTCTGGGGTCCTGGCGATTCCGTAACACTAACTGCTCGCGGGTCAAACACGTGTTATTGGTTGTGTTGTTTACGGTTTGTTGCCCTCAAATACACTTCAAAGACCTTTAACTTTGAAACCAGCCGTCCGATTTTGACCAAATTTTGACTGTGCGTGTAGGCTATCAGTGTCGATTGTACACCAGCGCATAAGACAACGGAGGTACAAGTAAAATTATATTTTTCTCACTATAGTTCGTAGTTTGTACGGTTCTGTGCAGAGCTCAATGAAAGTTAGCATTGTTCCATGGTCCATGCTAAAAGTATCACTGCTTGGTGGTTTTACATAGGTTATATTCTATGTACTTGAGAGCTATTTGGGGTAACTGAAAGAAGCGATGACAAACCTTTATGGATGATCAACTTCTATATTTTCACAATAGGGACCTTTCGGTATAGCTCCTTATACCGGTTTCAAGCATATATGGGGGGAAGGGGGAATGGTGGGGTACACCAGTTTATATGCAAGATACATGTACATATGATAATGTGATAATGACAAATGTGGGATAACAAAGCATCAAAGAAAGTTACATGATGATGAGCTAAAATATCATAAATGAGATGAGTGGGATTACCATGACAATTAGTAAGTTAATTAGGCAGAAGCCAATGAGTTGGGGGATTAAATAGTGGGAAACCAGTGGTGAGGAATGTCAGTTAGGCAGGTTAATGAGAAGCCAGAGTGGGTTGAGTG